AATAATAATTAAATTTTGTATTTATTGGATTTTCATTTAATTATTTCGCGCTCTCTCGCACACATATACATGCATATGCACGCATACACACATACATAAACACCAGCAAGACACACAGACACGTAGCGTGCGGCCAATGAACGCGGCATGAAACCTTCTTGTTGCTTGCAAACTGCACGAGACGAGAGCCAAAAGTGGACTGACACTGGAGACTGAGGCGCGATCAGGCAAAGCTCACGGCGGCAGAGTCCAACACCTACACATACATGCATGCGCATACACACACATACACATACACTCTGAGACCCGCTCTCACAGCAACAATTGCGAAAATGTTTTTCTTCGGCCACAAAATCCACAAGCACTTCAAGACTCAGAGAGATAGAGAGAGCGACACACACACAGAAAACACGTATGTAGCGGTAGAGCGGCAGCGACCGAATCTTAAGTCTGTTTTACCTGCGCTGAGTATTAAAAACCCCAGTGGAAATTTGGACATTGCTCTCAATGTGCTGCACATGAGGAGTATTTCGATTTGGTAAAAACGTTTGTGCTAATGGGGGTCAGTCTTATCATGCTGCCTGGGCATAGCAGCAAAGCGAAGCCAAAAGCAAAGCAGAGTAAACCAACAAGCAACAACAAAAACATAAACAGGTATTTTTATTGAAAGTCACTTATCTCAGCTGTCAGTGAGTGCGCTTGCAAGTCGTTCACATGTCGCATATGTGTGCGAGCATGTTTTGCGCTGCAGAGAGAGAAAAAATGAGAGAGAGACGCGAGAGACACGCACACATCGACATTCGACATTCGACATCGACATCGTCAGTCAAGCGCTCGCTCACTCACTCGCCACTTAATCAGGCATTGGACAGAACCTGTTGCGCGTGCTATGCGTCCAGTTCTTGCTAAAGAACAACAACAACACGACGACAAGCGAGAACCTGTTGCGGCACCGACTACGGCGGCCTGCACTTAGCCAAAATTCGTGCGGGCAAAGGCAAAAGGCAAACAAAGAAAGTAAAGACTAAAACAAAAAGAAAACGCAACAAGAAGCAGCTGCGCAAAATGAAGGAAACGTTGATAAGCAAGGCCGAACAGAGAGCTGTTCTTGCTGCTGCTGCTGTTGCTGTAGCGACTGCGGCTGCACTTCAAAGTTGATTTATTTGTTGCTTCTTTTTATTGTTACTGTTTGACGATGATGTTGTTGTTGCTATGTCACTTTTGATTTTCAGCGCAAGTCGCTTCCAATTAAGCAAAGCAAAAGCGGCACAAAACTGTGCGACCACCAACGTGGCAGCATCCTCAATCCACCCATCCAAAAAAATGTTAGGGTCAATATTTGTGCCCAAAAATGAGCTTATGGCCGTTAAATGCAAATCTTTATAATTTCACAGTTTCAGTTCGCAATCTTAACCTGGTGCTAATGAGCCCATTCTAAGGCATATAATTTATGTATTGTCACTCACAGTGGTCACTCGCTAATAAGAATTAGCTACATTTGCAGAGCTGATTCCGATTCGCAACGAATATTAACAGCTTATTTTTTAAGTTTATTATTTGTATATAAATTGTATTTTCTAGACTAGAATTTCATTTACAGGACGCTTCCATTTTCGAGCGACTACTGTATTGGTATTGACATGCAGCATAGCCAATGAGCGTATCGCCGCCTAACGGTACAAGCGAAAGGCGGCAACATGCAAATTGCCACAGTACAATAAAACGACATCAGCCAAAAGAATAAAATTCCAAAACAATCAGCAATAATCAACGGGCTCTTGAGTTCTAAGCCAAAACTTTCGTTTGCCATTCTCACAGTTCATTAACCGATTTTAAATGATAAAGACAAAAAAGCACTAGAAGGCCAACAACAAGAACAACAACTCGTTAGATGTTGCATGGCGCTGCCAAAGATCACAGTCAGCCTGGGGGAATTTTGTGGCTAACCCGGCTGCTGCTGCTAAGCTGTCCGGCTTGCGGTCAAAATGGGTAATGGCAACAACTAGTTGCAGACGCACTTCGCGCCTTGGAGGGAGACGTTGGCTCCTCTCCTATTAATCATTGATTTCTTCTTTTTGGTGGGCGCTCACTTTGGCTCACATTTGTTTATTTCTGTGGTTTGCAAAACAAAAACAAGTTAACCCAGCTCCAGAAGAAGAGGAAGCACGGAATGTGCCGCGACTATCAATCAGTTATTGTCTATTGTCTATGGTCAAAACGGCCGTTACCAAATTTGTAGCTCGGTCGCCAGCTCAACAGCAACAGCTCACCAGCTCACAAGCTCGGCAGCTCGGCAGCCCGGCAGCTCTTTGAGTTGACCCAACCAGACCGGTACTCGACTTTCCATTGGAAAAGCCCTCAATATAATATAATAATAATGCATGCCAACAGCTGCTGGCCATGCTGAAGGTTAAACTTGTGGCTAGTGGTAGTGGGAGCGGGAGCATTCACTGCTTAAGCATTCAAGTGCGAAACGCTGGCAAACAGCAAACACACCCAGTTCCAGTTCCAGTTACAGGCCAAGACGAGCTGATATGAAATCACAGGCATTTCACGTGGGAAACGCTTTAGCCGAAGTCACACACAGCTCAGCCCTTTGCAAAAAGCTATTGTTATACCCTATAGTAAAAACGGTATGCTTAAGCAACTCAGCAACGACAGAAGGAGGAATTAAAAATACTTGATCAGAACGATGATCTATATTATTATTTTTTTTTTAAATTTTAAAAAACAGGATCAGTTCTCAGATAAATACCAATTGCGAGCATACTTTTTTGAGAATGTTTGAAACTAACAAATGTAATATTTTTGTTCTCTTAACATACAAATAAAATATATTCATTTTAATTATTATTTACTCTCGAGGAAGTCCTTCTAGAAGAAAATGATATTTTTGAAATAATTTCTCCCCCTTTTTTTTTATACGTTTAACAAATATACTTTCTTACTAATTAGGTAACTTGACTAAAAGGTATACACATTTAACATTATAAATAATGAGTGTACATCAATTTGTAACTATGTACAGGGTAGCAACAATTCGTGCACTCACGGACTATTCCTGTTACGGGATAGACGTTCAGGGTTGCTGGGAACGCAGGCTGTATGCGACTTGCATTTAAATTGAGCGCCAAGCGATGACGTCACCAGTTGCTACTGCTCCATTGCTCCATTTGTTGAAATTTGCATGCAACATGCGGTGATCAGCAATTCCAGCTGTCAGCCAAACCGAACTGGCGGACAAGGCATACCAAAGGTATTATGACACACACATATCGTAGCTTTTTAGATAAAGATGCGAAGAGCTGCAGTTCAGCTTTTTCTTTGATATTTGAAATGCAACAAAAGGCCGCCCTCCCGCGACGCAACATTGAATCGAACGAAGAAATAGAGGCGTGCAGTTCCGCGATGATGTAAACAACGAGAAAAAAAAATAGAAAAAAAATATAAATACAGCGGGCGACCCGAAACTATTTAAAAAATATATATGTATATATGTATGACTTGTGTGTGTGTGTTTTTTTTTGAAAAGAGGAGCATGTGAGACTTGAATTTTGGGACTGTGGCCGTCCTCTGGCCTGGTGGCATTTCTGTGACTCTGGCCGCGGGCGACTGCTGCCACAACAGTCAGTCACTCAGTCATTCAGTCAGTCAGTCAGTCAGTGAGTTCGTCTAATTGGATTTGCGCGCTTGTGCGTAACTATAAATCACACTCACCACACACACACACACAACACACAGCAAGTATGTGGCGCGGGGGGTTGTGTATGTGTGTGTTTTGGAGCAGGGACTAACCGGTTTGGATTGCCAAGTCACCCGCTTATAGACAAAACTGCAGAGCTGCGGAATCCCATAAAGCTTTTCGACTATTTATTAAGTGACCGAAAAGGTAACAAGAAATGGAAGCATTTCTGTTTTGTACCCTTTTCTTCTTCTTAACTCATAAACGATATAAAGAATAATTATGCTTCTGCATAAAATGAAAAATTACGAAAAAATGAAAGAAAACAAAATATGAGCTTACGCAAGTTGGCCCATAAGCTTGGGGCTCCGTTTTGTTTTGTTTTGTTTTTTTATTTTCATGTACAAATGCCATGTAAAACAGTCGTGTGAAATTTATTAATGATACTCCAAATGCCGTCCACTTGCTAGCTCATAAGTCTTGTTAGAAAGTGTCTTGTAAAATGTGACATTCTTGGAAAAGACCATTTGCCACAGACTTGCACTTATAATGTGCTGTAAGCTGATTTATTTCTAGCCACCAAAGCTGTGTAAGCGGATGTTGTAAGCTGGCCAATTGCAAATCTACATACATACATATACATGTATACATGTATGTATGTACATTTGTATACACAGGGAAAAAATACATACATATCGTTTAGTTGTTATAGCGAAAATTAAACAAAAAGGCCCGAACATGGAAAACATTGGGCAGAATCAGGAATTGTTGCTGTTCTGCTGTTTGTGTGTGGTCTCTTTAAATTTGTGTCTGTCTCTCAAGCCCTACGAGCGGCTTGAACTTTGACAGGGAACTTGTTTGTGTAGCGGCTGTTGTCGGTTCCTGCAATTTATTAAATTTCATACAAGCAACGCGACAGACAAGGACATTGACTGGGCTATTCAATTACCAAAAAGGAGAAACAAGGGATTGAAAGTGGATACTATTTAACATGTGTTGTTGCATTCCAGCAGGGGCTTTAAAAGTGCCACCACAATTCAAAAGTTACATGCACAAAGTACTCATTAGCAAGGTGGCAACGCTATGTAGTCAACAGTTGATATCAGCACTATTGATTCTTAATTACTGAAAATTATAAAAAGCCAGTAAATGTAACTTTAAATGGGTGTGTTTCCTGCTTTTCGATTGTATTTCGAAGCTTGTCATACATGTTTTCGCATTTCAGCCGTGCCTCAGGATTTTAAAAGTACTCATTGTCAAAGTGGCAACTCTGTTCTGCCAGCTGTTCTGTTGGTTGCTTTGTTGCAAACAAAGAAAGCAAAGTGTCAATTATCTAGGTTGACAATGTGAAAATCGCATTGGAACACACCCATACCACACACCATATACACAATGCATTCCGCCCAGGCACGCAATAAGATATTCAAAACATGGTCGGGCATTAGCGAGGTGTCCATCATCAAGGAGGTGGCCACCAAAGGCGAGCACATCGATCTCTGCATGGAATACTGGGCTGCCAAGCGCAAATTGCCCCTCGCCGAGTATCGTCATTACTTCTTCGATGTGGTGCAAGCGTACGTGCAGCGTCTGCTGTCAGAGCGACTTGTCTGCAAGGCAGACAATGTCCTGCACAATGTGGATCGCGATGTGAAGTGTTTCTTCTATCAATACGCCTGCGAGTGCAACGATGCCGATCTCAGTGAGTTTGTGCTGGATCATCTGCGCTGCCGCGAGCCCCAAATGTTTGAGCAGGAGCAACCGGTGCTGGAGTATTACTGGTCGCTGGTGCAGCAGCTGCGCGAGTGCGGTGATCTACTCACCAGGCGCAAAGCGCAGCTGCCACGTGTCCACATCGAGGCGCTGATGTCGCTGTCCGAACAAACGCTGCAGCTGCTTCTTGTCGAACTTTACTTTGCCAATGGCAATGAGTCCCTGCTGCCGGATCTCAACAAACAACTGGTGTGGCAACATCTAGTGGACACCGAACAGTTGGATAGATTGCGTCGCTGGTGCTGGTGCGGCGGTCAGGATGCGACGGCAACAAGTGCACTGCTGCTGCCACTGGAGCAGGCCTTCGCTCAGTGGCTCATCGAGCCGGCCATGTATGAATATGCTCTAGAACATTTGGAGCAGCCCTGCGAACCACTGCGCAACTATTTTGCCAGAGCTGGATACTTCTTTGCCGCTGAAACTGCCGATATGTCCACGATGCTGCGACGGCTCTGCACAATGCAGTCTCTCGAGCAACACAAGGAGCTGATCAGACGCCAGCCACTGGCGAATCATTTACTGGAACGCGGCTACCATTCGTTGCTGCTGCTCCAATGTGTGCCCATCTCAGCGCTGGAGCAGTTGGCTGGTGAAAATGAGCCACTGCTGACATTGCTAATTGATCTCAAGACTCATGATCTGACGCAGCGCGAAGGATTTGAATTGGTGAGCATATAACTAAGGTGATTCTAGTCCTTACATCTGGTCTTTAATTTATCTGCAGATTAAACCAACTTCTATAACAAAATCTACACTCCGGAGTCTTTATCTCTTAGTGAAATGTAATCTGAAATTCACAATTAATATTCTTTCAAGACTGTTAACCTTTGGGCCTGTGGTCTTTGTTTGCGTCTTGGGGCATTTTTCGATTAGGTTACTAATATATTTGTTTCCCATTCTTACCCCGCAGATATCGCAGAGTGCTCAGAGCTATTTGGAGCGCACACACAACGCTGCAGAATCGCTGTATGAGCATCCGCTGCTGACATTTTATGACTTTCTCTGCCATGAGCCGAGCGTGCGTGCACTGGAGGGTTTCCTCTCCTCCAGCAATCTGCGACGAGTGCCCTATTTGAAATCACTGATGATGCGCTTCGAGCATCATGCATTGAGCAACACAACCACTTTGCCCACGGCACACGACCTCTTCCACAAGTTCAAGCAGGTGAATTTTGCTGTGCTCGCGGCAGCTGGTGGCCCCGGCGAGATGATTAGTTTCTCCAATCCCCGTCTGAGTCAGCGATATGCACGCAAAGCGCAGCTGAGCTACACGCATTATCTGAAGCAGCAGAGGAGCGCGTATGCTGTCTATTATTTTCTGATGGAGCAGCTGCAGCTTTATGGACAGATCACACGCATACAGCTATTCCATGCGTGCGAGACGGCCACACAACTGGCGCTGCAACATGCCGGCGACGAGGAGCTGGTGACGCACTGCGTCGCCTGCTGCGAAATGTTGGATTTCGATACGCAAACATTGCGCAGCTTTTTGCATCTGCAGCGACTGCTGCCGGCGGCAAACGCAACTGGGAATTATTCGGCGCAGCTGCAAAGCTGGGATCAGGCGCTGGTGCAGCAATTGTTGCAGAGACCGGAACACTTTCCCTTGGAATCCTATCAGGCACTAATGCGTCTCGCTGCCCGCAACGTTCAAGGCAAGTGGCCATCGGCACTGTTGCGACATTTTGCCGCTGGCAACGATTGGTGGCAGCTACTACTGCTCTTCCAGTACTTTGATCTGCCACTGAGTGAACTGAAGCAACTACTGCCACATTTCAAGTGCAGCGCCCTCGGCGTCCACTTGCTGCGCGCCCTCAGCTACGAATGCAGTCACGAGCGGCCGCATAAGCGTGCCAGCAATCGCCGCAACGACGGACAGACGAATTCCTCACAAGAAACAATGACGAACTCGTCGCATAGTTCCGGCCTGGATGCGAATCTACAGCAGCTGCAACGCGACGCTGGGCAATCCATGTGCCAGCTGCTTACCCACAATGCCCAACAAGATCTGTTCGCCATTGTGATCTGCAGCAGCAACAATTTGCCGGATGAGTCCATTACGAGCTTCACTACATTTGTGGAGCTGATGCAGAGCAGTGGTCAGCATAGCACCGCCATCAATCTGCTGAAACACTGCGTCCGCCAGCAGATGCCCGTTCTGGCTGTGCTGGCAGCGACGCTCAGCGAATCGAATCACGACTGGTGCTGGTTACTCTGGCTGGCTGTTGCCAGTGGCCAGTGGACGCAGCTGCTTCAGCTGGCCATCAAATGCAAGGAGCGTAACGATCAAACGGAACTCGTTTGGTCAGTAATACGTGGCGCTGTCAGCGCTGGACATGTGAATGCCCTGCTGCACAGCTTCTGCATCTTTCATCCGGTGAGTATGCCTTTGGAAACCTTAAATATACATATATATGTGGTATAAATCTTCTAATGTTATTTCTTTTATAGGAGTGCAAGTTTGGGCATTTGTGTCGTTTCCTGCAGTTGACGGCACAGCAGCAGGACTTTAGCACAACAACGATCGTGGAGTTGCGTATGTTCTTCTGCAGTTGGAGCCAGGATGCAGTGCAGCTGCCTCTCTGTGAGCCACTCGCTCACAAGCATTTGATGCAACGCTGCATTGGACTACTCCTGATGCAGCTGCAATCCAATTTCGATTGCATTATGCAGCAACAGAAATTTCTCGAGTGCATTTGTCGCTCGGATGTGGGCGACATTTGTGATCTGCTGGACTTTTGCCTGCTGCATAGGATCTTTGGTGTTGCGGCACCCTGGATGCGTCAACTGGGCATTGACTACGAGCAGCTGGTGAAGCGAGACAGTGCCGAATACAAGCGCCTTGTGGATGCACTGACCGATGCCAAGGCATATGACGAGGCACTGCAGTTGGCGGCACTGTTGCAGTTACCACTGGCCGATATTGTTTATGCCAAGTGGCTGGCAGAACTCGAGGCCGGCCAGTTGCGTCTGCATGCGGAATACGAGCGGGAGATTGAGCAACATGCTCTGCCGCCTGCAATACTTGTTAACTTTCTGCTCCACGCGGCAGCCACACAGCAGCCGGAGGAGAATCAATTACGTCGTCGGTATGAGCTGCTTCAGAGTGTACTGGGGGTCATCAAGCAGCATCATCTGTTTCCCAACGAATGCTTTGATCGCGATCAGATTGAGTATGATATGGTTTTGTGCTACTTGCAACTGGAACCGGAGCCATCTCCGCCTGTAACCATCTACCATTCGGAGTACTTTGAGCAGATAATGCAACAGGAGCGCGGTGTTCTCTACAAATCTTTCTCCGAGCTAAAGGAGCTGGCAGGCATTGATGATCTCAGCATTGCCAACAAATCACAACTGACCGCAGAGATGGAGCGGCGTCTGAATGAGTTACTCAATCTGCTCCTGGATGAGGGTGACATTGTGGAGGCACTGCGTCTCCAAGAACTTTTTGAATTTCGTCCAACTGACTTGCGTTTCATTGTCTTCGCCATGGCCCTGGCCGAGGGCATGACTAGCATTGTGAATCTGGCCATCAAGGAGCGCCAGCTGCTCAGCGACATTGAGAAGAGCGCCTTTCCCAAATTCAATCGACTGACGCTCAATCAGAGTCCAATGGTAAGATGCAACAGCGATTTGTCTGGCAGCTGCTCTACGCTGGAATTTGAAGAGATACCCTCCAAGGAGAAACAACAAACGCTAGATACGCTGCTGGGCATTGGCTCCAAGCTCAAGCATGGCATCGAACTGGGACGACGCATTGTGCTTTCCTATCGCGCCGCCATGTTCTTGGACAAGGAATATTTGGATGTGTTGCGCACCAAGGATGTCACTGTGCTGCTCAAGAGTGCCGCCGAAGAGGATTGTCTGCAGCGTCTATTGGTCGTGAGCGATATACACATCTCCACACGAATGACATCCAAAGAGGTACGTTGAGTTGAATGTGGAAACTATTCAGCTAAAGCATTTTGTCACTTGCAGATTGCAGAGTCTGTGGCTCTGGAGCTGACCACGTGCATTGTGCGTCCACGTTTCTACATATTCCATGCCAGCCAACAGCCACGGAATGCGCCACGCAACGCGGATCTCTGGGGTCACAATATCGATCGAGATTTTCATCTATTTCTTGAGCTGACGCCCAACACGACGCTGCTGGGCAACTGTCTGCTGGAGTATTGTGATGCGCTCAAGGCCTATCGTCGCTATCAGGACAACAAGCCCTATATGCAGAGTGAAGCCTTTGAGCGCCTCTCGGGCATCATCCAGCTCTACGGGCTGCCTAGTACCAACAACAGCAGCAGCAGTAATGTGCCTAGTTCGCCGGGGAAACCGCACGTTCTGTCCCACAAGAAGCAGAATCAAATCTATGTGGAGCTATTGATTAAGGCACATTTGTGCTTTGTGCACGAATGCTCCATGGAGGGGATTGCCAGCGTGCTGGAGCGTTCAAAGCAGCTCACCGCACAGCTGACCACGGCCAAATCGTGGTCATTAATTGTGCGCCTACTGATCGGGATTGCACGCTATCGTGAGATGTTCTACTGCTTCGACGCGCTCATCGAGAACGAGCAATTCGAGTCGCTTCTGGGACAGTTCGATGAGGACCAGAAGAGCGGACTGCGCCAAGCCATTTTAGGCTATCTACGCGAATATAATCCCAAAAATAGCATGGAACTGTTGCGTCTGGCCGCCCATCATTTCCTCATGTACAATGAGCTGGCGGAGATGTGGTCACAGGAGGCACAACAAATCGTAGACAAAGTGATCGCCACTATGTCCGCTGAGCCGGGCAAATTGAAGTGCAGCCAGGAGCTACAGATGCTGCTGCAGCAGGCTTTGGAGAATTATACGCATGCCACCGAAAACTATTTGCTAGACAACAAACTGATTCTGGCCCAGTTGAGTGTGTCGCGTGCCGAGCTGATGGCCATGCAACTGGATCTGTGCAACAAGGCGCTAGAGAAGCGTGGAGGAGGAGGAGGTGGACACCACAACAGCATCTCAGCGACGCTCAGCTGCATTAGCGTTATTGGCATCCAAACGCGCGAGCAATTCCGCGAGTTGGTCAACACACAATTGAGGTGGGTTTCATGATAAATAAGAATTTACAAAATGTTCATTTTTTTCGAGAACATTTTTATATTTTTGTTGAGGATTTTATAATCTTGTTAATCTTTTAAAATCTATGATTCCCAAACAGTGTGCCGCAAACGTTGATACTGAGTCGTGCCTGTGGCTATGATGTCAACTGGAGCGAAGCTTTGCTAACCCAATTTGTGGTGCTGCAGCGGTGCAACTATTTGCATGAGTATCGTTGCCATCAGCGCATCAATGATAACGTCATTGAACAGGTTGTTAAGGGGTAAGAACAGATAAAATTCAAAACATTCACTCACCTGGAGCCCGTTTATAGTGTATAACATGATTTGTATCGTTTCAGCTATCTGCTGCACACTCAGAACAATCCGTCGAATGGCAAACAGGAGGAATCTCTAGCTCAACTGGTGGAGCTTATTCGATCCGTCACACTAAAATACAAATTAGCTTCCATTTCGGGCCTGAAAATGATTGTTATGTCGCTGATCAGCGATTCCACGGTTCACTATCTACGCGATACGAACTTTGGTCGCAACGAACTGCATAACGTCACGAATATGTGACACACAATATGTGATTTATACACTATATTATATATATGTACTGATTGTAATGCCAAATACGTTATTAAATGCAAAAACTTAAAAAAGGCGCGCCAGTCAAGTGTAAATGCAGAGTTGTCATCTCGCCAGATTTACATATACGATATCCATAACAATCGATAGCAGGGCATTATCGATAGCTTCTTACAAGTTAACAAAATTGTCACGAAGTACGATAACAATTATTTTCTGACAAGTAAATAACGTGCGTAAGGTTTTTCTTTCCCCAGACTGAATTTACTTTATTTCTTTGGAGAGAGAGAGTGTGTGTGTGTTTAAAATTCATAGGCGACTTATTAGTTAATTTCAATTTATTTAGCACACACAATGGCGCAAAGCAAACTGAACGATCTTGCTGGCAAGCTGGGCAAAGGTGGCCCCCCTGGTCTGGGCATCGGACTAAAGCTCTTGGCTGCTGTAGGCGCCGCTGCTTATGGTGTCAGTCAATCCTTGTACACCGGTAAGTTGTGTAATATTTGGCCAGCAGCATACAACCATTGAGCTAGCAAAGAAAACACGACTATTCTTGCGGCATGGACACATAACCTCAAAGGTACATTAGTATGTGTGCGTTGAGTGTCTGTGTGGATGCTATTGCGGCTTTTGTTGGATTTCATAACTAATTAACATGCTTGCACAATGCAAGACTTTGGATATTCGTTAGTCTATTTATGACAAGTGCAATTGGGAATCGGCTTCTGTGCTATTAGCAGATGCACTCGCTTTTACATTGCTTTTTTTTACTGGTTGCATAACAAACTTCTGATGTTTTCCTGTTCTCTTCTCTGCTCTTTGCTCTCTGTTTATAGTTGAGGGTGGCCATCGCGCCATCATCTTTAGTCGCTTGGGCGGCATACAGAACGATATTTATTCTGAGGGTCTGCATGTGCGCATTCCTTGGATCCAGTATCCCATTATTTATGATATCCGTTCGCGGCCACGAAAGATTTCATCACCTACCGGCTCGAAGGATTTGCAAATGATAAATATATCGTTGCGTGTGCTTTCGCGTCCCGATTCACTCAATTTGCCCTTCCTGCACAAGCAACTGGGTGTCGATTACGATGAGAAGGTGCTGCCCTCTATTTGCAATGAGGTGCTCAAGAGTGTGATTGCCAAGTTCAATGCATCCCAGCTGATAACACAGCGTCAACAGGTCTGTAGAAGTTCTTAACTTATTTATAGAATATAAAATAATACTTTGATTGCCCCGCAGGTCTCTCTTCTGATACGCAAGGAGCTGGTGGAGCGTGCGCGCGACTTTAACATAATTTTGGATGATGTTTCGCTGACTGAGCTCAGCTTTGGCAAGGAATACACGGCAGCCATTGAGGCCAAGCAGGTGGCACAGCAGGAAGCGCAGCGCGCCGTCTTCTTTGTTGAGCGCGCCAAGCAGGAGAAGCAACAGAAGATTGTCCAGGCCGAGGGTGAAGCCGAGGCAGCCAAAATGATATCCTTTTAACAAATCAAAGCTTAAACATATATTTGCAATCATTTTATAGGAAAATAATTTTTTTTGCACTTGGTTTGCACCTTAACTGTTATGTTTACTTAGGTCTGGCCGTCAAGCAGAATCCAGCCTACCTCAAGTTGAGAAAGTTGCGTGCCGCTCAAAGCATTGCCCGCACGGTAAGAATAGTTTCAAGATACTCTGCAGTCGCTATTTCAAAATTTTTTATCGCTAATCGTTTTTTCTCTTAATAGATTGCCAGCTCACAGAACAAGGTTTATCTGTCCGCCGACAGTTTGATGTTGAACATTCAGGACTCGAGCTTCGATGACATGACTGAGAAGGTTTACAAAAGTAAATAACTCGTTCCGTCATTGAGTTTACATTTAAGTTGAAAAAAGAAAACAAGAAAAAACAAAATATGTTTTTGGTTTCGAGCATTGGCCAAAAACTTAGACATATAGACCGTGTAATTGAAATAACATTTTAAACGTTTCATCTTATATCTCTCTTTTTCTCTTTGCCAACCAATTTTCTATCCATTTCGTTCTGTTCAACTTTCTGCTCTTTTATTCCCTAACGCGCAACGCAGTCCCAGAAGGCTTGGATTAAGTAAGCGGGCCAATTCCTAAACTTGTTGATTAATTAACTTGATGCACAGCAATTTGCATACATATAAGCTAGTGCCTAAGATAATGATTAGATATATAAAAATCTTAGCGCGTCGTTCTAACTTCTTCACGCACTGTCTGCGCCGCCTCTCGCCTTTCTGCGTTCTGCCTGCTATGTGGTGTACAGCTTCATTTCACATCGTTGCCGCAACGCAGGCGCGCAGCATCCGCGAGAGATCAGCGCTCACAGTTTGATTGCGAAAGTGAGGACGACGACGCGGCTAAATTGCCGCAGCATTTAGCGTTTTGTCCCATTCAAAGAAACAATAACGAAAACTGTTAATAAATGCGCATTGAGAAAACAAACAACAAAAAACATTGTCAACACTCGAACAAATCAGTTTCAATCTACTTAACCAGGTGACAACAACTCGTACCAAAACATAAAACCTAAAAAAAAAACCCATCGTTTTTCAGTTGGCACGGGCCTGCCCAAGAATTGGCTAGACAAGGGCAAATTGACGGGCGGAGTTGACTCCAACGTTGGCGATGTGGCACGCAGCACTGCGGATCGCCTCGTGTAATGTAACAGATTGGATGACTCAAATTGTGGCTGCAGCAAAACTCTTCTGGCTTCCCAACATCATCTCAAAACAATAACAGCAAATCAACCAAGTACAAAAACACATATTTTGTGTGAGGACAAACTGCAAATTTCCTTTCCTTTAAAAAAAATAATAGCAATAATCCGCTGATGGCATTTCTTCAAATACGAAACATTTACTTATATTATAATAATTGCATGTATAAAATACATAAGAATAGTACATAATATGGGTGTATATATAGTATAATTTATAATATGTATGTGTAGAAGATTCATGTAAAATTTTAGGCAGAGTAGGTTAGGTTCCTTGTTGTAGCTGTTGCTATTCTTATTCTTTTATTTTTTGTGGAGTTTTTAACATAGAGTTTCGTGCGAGATCTTGACTAGAAATAGTTGTGTGTGTGTGTGTTTGTGTGTGTGTCTTTCCTTATTGTTATGTTTATAATGAAGATCTCGTATACAATTTATAAGTTGGATAAGGCTAATAATTGTTTTTTGCTGGTAGACTCAACTATCCTTTAAATTTAATGCCAAGTCTACATATAAACATAACAATAGCATTTTGTGTATGTAGAGTGGTTGCCATAAACATTTATGGGAACCACTTTAAATACAACTGCAGTGAGTTAATGTATTTTTTTTGGTCTACTTCTTGAGCAAATAAGTGCCCCTAAGAAAGGCCTGTCATTTAATTTAGGTGCTGCTTCCTTTATCCTTTCCACATCAATATCTATCATATGTATGCATAGTAACGAACTCGAACAATCAATCAAATTTTCCTGCAATAGGCGCGTGGGGTTAGCTTTGTATGTATTTGTAGATTAGTGTTATTTGTTTCTTAAGGTTGTCGCGCACTCGACATGGACCAGGATCAGGCAGTCGATGGGGCTTTGCTGCTGCTGCTGCCACTCTCGCTGCTGCTGCTCGCATTGCTATTGGCGCGTCGACTCTCCGTCAGAGCGGGCGTATCCCGTCGATGCCGGCGCAGCGTGGAGCTGGCCGACGGAGCCGATGAACTCAATGCAATGTTGGCCGTAAAGGCGGCTGCCTCGGCGCGACTAGGCACTGTCAAGGTGCCATTGGTCGTGGTGGTGCTCGTGCTGGCGCTGCTGCTGCTACTGCTGCTGTTGTTGTTGATGTTGATGCTGCTGCTGCTGTTGATGCTGTTAGCGCCGTTCGCTGTGGCAGCGGCGAAGGATTCGCTGATGCTGCCCAATGGGGGTCATAAGTTCGTCGTCTGCACCAGTCCACGCTCCAAATGGAAGCACTCCAGCATCGCAGCTCCCACTGAGCTGCGTCGAGCCACCATCGCATTCACCACGCTCCATTTATTCAAACGTGGATCATAGCGTTCCACGGAGTTTAAAGAGGAGCTGCCATCGTTGCCCCCCAAGGCAAAGAGCACGCCCTCCACATCCACCACCTCGTGTGTGGATCTGCAAAGGAGACATATTATAAATAACATGAAAGATGTAAGAGTAAAGAAAGTAATAGTGTTCCCAAAGAGATCCAGCAGCTTGTTTACCTGCGCGAATGCATTGCCGCAATGGGCTCCCAGCAGTTGCGACGCAAGTTGAAACGTTCACCGCTGGACATGCACATGGTGCCATCGTTGCCGCCAATGCAATAGAGATGTCCATCGGTGGAGGCGACACCGCAGCTGCTGCGCCTCGCTGTCATGCTGGGCACTGGCTGCCAGCGACCCACACGAGGATCAAAGCGCTCCACACTCGACTGATAGTTGGTGGAATCAAAGCCTCCCAAGCTATAGATTTGATTCTCGAGCACGGCGAGACGACAATAACGGCGGCGAGTGCTCATCGCCGGACAGGAGCTCCAGATGCCCGTCAGCGGATCGTAGCGTTCCATGCTGCTCAGACAGGAGGCGCCATCGTAGCCGCCACAGACAAAGATCAGACCATCATAGGCACAGATGCCCAGGCAGCTGCGCTTGGTGCCCATCGGTGTGATGTTGGTCCACTTGTTGGTCAACGGATTATAGCACTCCGCTGTGGCCAGATCACTGACGCCATCATAGCCACCCACCACATACAGCTGCTTGTGCAATGATGTCACGCCGGAGCGTGAGCGACGCCAGAGCATCGGAGCCACCGGTGACCAGCTGTTGCATCGTGGATTATACACCTCGCACTCGTTGTGGATGGCAAAGAGACTGCCGCCGCCGACAGCAAAAATGTAGGGCTTCATGCCCTCCGGCCGGCGTTCCTGGGTGCGCTGGCTGCCCATCAAGCTGCGCTGCTCCGGCAACAGATGATACTTCATCGCCTCGAGCAGCAGCTCCTTGCACTCGGAGTCATCGCGCATCAGCGTCTCAGCTTCGACGCAGCTCATCAGGAAATCACGATTAACCAGCGGCAGGCGCACGTGTGACATCAGCTCGGCAATATGCAGGCGACGCTTGCTGAGATCGTGCTTTACCCAACTGATAACGCCCAGAAATACCTTCTCCTCGGAGCAAATGTTCAGCTGGGTATTCGATATCAGCTCCTTGACCTCCTCGAAGGGCAGCAGCAGGAACTCCTCGGTGCCCACCACTTGCTGGAAATTCTGCAGCGCATACTTGTGGGAGCGCGTGTGGAGTTCCTTGCAGGAGTGCGCATCCGCAAAGCTGCGTATGCCCAGGCAGTTGGACGGATGCAGCTGCCGCAGCAGAAACTTACAGCACGCATCCCGCACCGAGTGCATCTGCAGCAGTCCCGATGCCGGCAACAGCACCTGGACATTCTGCTCCGTTATGGTTATCTCGCCCGAATACGTGTAGTCAATCAGTTGGCGCAGCGCCGAGCTGTCCACATCATGCAGTCGCACCAGACCCTGGGTACGCTCGAGCATATCATCTGCAAGAAGAATGGGCGAAACAAATGAGTTCAGTTCCGCTTGCTTGACTCCTGGTAGGGTGTGTAGCTCTTCGCTTACCATTGAACATGGCATAGAAATAAGGCGAGACGGAGGCCAACACGACACGGTGTGCATTAATGGTGTCTCCACCCACCTCCAGGCGCACATCGCACAGCTGCAACGAGAAACGGCAAAGGGGGAAAACCCATCATCATCATCATTGACACATGAAGCAGGCGTCACGAGGCGTGGCAAGTGTTGCCTTATACAAATTCGATTAACAACGTCCTGGCCCTCGACCACTACGTGCTTCATTTCACAGTCTAGCCTCCCTATCCTAAACAAACGTATGATACAGTGGTTCGAACAGTTTGAATGATAGAAAATCTTTAACGTGGTCTCTTAAAACATTCGTTGACACAAAAGACTAAAAAAAAAACATTACTTTCAATAGGCTCATATCCATTTAACTTCATAAAAAAAACTTATACAAGCTTTTGAACCACTGTGCCTCCCATTGAATCCCTACAAGTGACACGCTTCAACTTCAGTGCCAGACATTGAGCTGGCCTCACCATAAATAACTTAAGCCGAGCACGACGAGCCGCCTCTTGTCAAGTCAACGCATCCGATTAATATCTATTTTTAATAGCAATACTTTTTATGTCGATATTACATTTTTTATTTTTGCCGAATACAAATTTACCGCACACGTCATGCGTGTGGTGGGGGTGGAGTCGCTTGCTCCGAATCGGTTTAAGGCCAACCACCCGCTGAGCAAATTATTGCGCTTTTTATTTTTATCACTAAATGACAATTTGCTCTATTAGCTCACCCAGCTGCCCTCTGCGCGGGTAGTGGGATAGGCAATTAAAAAGAAAAAAAAAGTTGATGGGAAATGAAATTATGTATACGCCAAGTGCGACGAACTGTAAGTGAGAACAAATGCAGACCATGTCGACCCACAGGTCTCGAATCACGCAATATTTCCAGTTAAACATTAATAGCTATATTTTAATTATGCAAACTACTTCTACAGTTAATTGTGCAGATAGGCAGACCTGTAAGAGCGTTCAAAAATTTACGTTGCCCTTTCAATGATTTCACTTAGCTTAAGTGGTTGGCAAAAGACTCACAGAAAGAACCATTTATAAATGAAACCCTTCAAATTTAGCAAATGTATAACTAAAGCTCCAGCTAAAAACAGTTTGGATATATATCTCACAATCTGTTTTTTTCTTAAATCATTTGGAAATTGTCTTTATAATCTTTGTATTTTTTCTTTATGCACTGAATTTCAGTTGTTTATAAAATTGAAATTAATATCGTTGGCATCCAAAACAAAGTCTTTTCAATCAAAAGATAACTAAAGGCAATTTATTTAATTTAAATCATTTATTAAGCAAGATAAAGGATTAGTTGCGGATTTTGTAAGTCTCAAATATATATATATGATATTTCTATATTATATTATAATATATACATACATATTACATTATATTCAAACATAAGATTGCTATTCATACCTGTGCATTATTGCGCATCTGATTGATGGCGGCAAAGGAGGCAATACAGTGTCCTGGATTTTGATGATGAGCTTGGGGCAGTACCTCCTCATTTGGTCCCGGTGGGCTCAGATCGCTGGGTGTTTGTGTTGAATTGTTGCTGGTGGTGGTAACATCCTCATTGTTGCCACTCGCCTCGGCGGTGCTGCAGCAGAAGAGATAAACAACAAAAAAAAACACGAAAGGCGTTGCTGTTTAAATCAAATTTGAGAGATAATCCGAAATAATGAGGATGATGGTTATGGGGCGACAACATGACGCCACACATCGCCAAAAGGCAGACTGGGGGTTGTTTTCACGCCGAAAGTCTCCCCATGTTTTTTTTTCTTTTAGGGGTTGTTACCGGCATGAAACATGAATGAATGAATGAATGGAAGCAGCTCCTGTTATGGTGTTTACTCACTGATTCGATTTGACTGGCAGAAACATTGCGTTGCGGTGTGCCTTGAGTTTATCGCTATGATGCGTCTAAAACATGTCCTCACTGTCGTTGACAGATTCAAATTGGTCCTTCGTTTGTATTCCTTTTGGTAGGGGCTGCTTCCCCTTAGAAATAATTCAGTCTTTTCTGTGGCAGTTGCAGCTGTAATGAAGCCGAGAAAGTACAAAAAAAAAATCAATAAACTTGTAATTGTTTTGCTGGCACCCCTAAAACAGCAACAACATCAACCAAATTTAGGTCATCCGCAGTCTTGCGAGTGGGAGGGCTGTGTGGCATCCAGACGACGTTACGTCGACTGTCATGAGATCATAGCTACAAGACTTTTATTTTTTGGTCATGTCAAAGTGAAAAGAAAGCATCTAAAGAGACCGCAAAGTAGGTTAAGTGCCGACAATCCCGCTGCCCCCTTTACAAACACCCACACCCACCACCCCCTTGGGAATCCATCATGCCCATTGTTTGGGGGCCCGCTTTGAATGAGCTGCACCCAGGCGTAAATTTGGGTTAGCCACGCTTTGATGTATATAGCTCCTTGTGCTTGCTGCACAGGATGCGGTTGTGTGTACACTCAATGCCTATAAAATAGTCCTTCGCATGCAATTTGCGCATTTGCCCGGCCAGGGAGTTAATGTGGTCATTGGTCGAGTTTTTTATAGCATTGCATTCAAGGCCAAAAGCAGTCCATGAAAGTGACTTATTGAGTAGAAGTATAGCCCATAAAAAATAAAAAAGAGTCCATGAAAGTCATTTACAAAGTAGAAGTACTGCCCATAAAATACTACAAAATACGACATAAAAAGTAATTTTATGTATCAAGTAGTAAAACTGAAGTTTGCTTTGTTTGATTTAATTGATAAGTACGCTCAGAAAAATATTTTCAATTCTTCAATTGTAATTAAAAGTATATTTCTAAAGCGTGTCTTCCTAAAAACTGGGAGTTTCTTTTCCCAATACCAAGGTACATTTTTTTAAAATATAATAAAAATATATCTAATTTGCAGAGAGTTTCTTTATATGTGTACACAGCACTTTAACATTTCCTTTTTTGTTTTATTATTATTAATCATTAGTATTTCAGATTTCATTGTACAATGCGTATGAAATAACTACTTGAAATTACATTTAAATTTGCTCATGCCCAGATTTATGGGTATATATAGAAAGCGTGCTTAGGCAATGATTAAAGTGAATTTTCTGGCCTCGGCTTACACTTGTTATTTATTTATTTTTTATTTTTTATTTGCTTATTTCATTTTTTCCTTGGTCAGTTCGCAATGGTGACGAATGTTTATTTATGGCTGGCCATGCAAAATAAACACAGCGAATGCATTTGGCAGATTATGCAGATAAATGAAAAGCATTGCTTATTACTTGCGCTCATGTACACATGTATGTATATATATATATATATTATATATTTATTTATTTATTTATTTATATATTTATTTAGACAGTATTTGACAATTGCTGGCAATAAGACGCTTGGAAAGTTCTGGGGTCAACAAAACGTGGCCAGACAGACAGCCAGCATGTGTGAAATCAACGTCACGAATTTTAACGCTGCATAACAAAACGCAAACAAAAAAAAAAAACACAAATTTAACAAAGCAACACACACAAAATTTCACTTTGCCCACCTGGCGCAACAAACAGAAACATATTAACGACAATTTTCGGTGTACGTTTTTTAGTTGTTGTTTTTCCAACTGCGATACAACCCAGGCCCAGGCGAAATGCCATGCTTGAGGGCGCAATTGTGCTGGAGGGCAATGCCCGTTAAATACTTGTAAATACAACGGTGTGTATGGTCGCACAGGGCACCCTAGCTAAAAGAAGCCCCATTAGGTGCTTATTACTGCAAACACCCCCTGCGCCGAGCAACCCAAAAAAATAAACGAAAACAGAACTGCAACTGTTGCAAAACGGACTTGACACAGAAGCAGCCGTGGGATTGTCACAGTTACAAATTCGCATGCAGTTCTTTTTGTTATTGTTTTCTTGATATTTTGATTTTTGTTGTTTAAGTGTGGGTCAGTTCCTAAAAAACTTGCGTGCCACTTGGCGTATGAGCAATGTGCGTGTAATTAAAGCAGTGCCCCAGGGTCGTTGAGGGGCCCCCGTTTACCGTTACGCTCTGCGGTTTGTCTCAGTGACAGCTCAGCTCGGACTAACTGTTCTGCGGTTGCAGAATACATACTACACTTAACGACAAATCTATGCGGAATTTGCAGCCAGAATCCAGAAACACAAAATATCTTAACAAACTCAACAGCTGACAGAACAGACGCAGTGAATCTCTACGACGGGATTCGACATATATCGTTGTTTAAAAAAAAAAAAAAACACTTGATGAAAGCCATATTTAAATTACAAAAAGAGTTCACCAAACAACGAATAAGCAGAAGTTATCGAATTATTATACTTGAACAAAAACTGGTTATCAATTTAACAGCAAGTTTAATAAAGAACGTGTTCTTGCAAATATTAAATGCAAACTAGCAAATTGCCTTTGGTTTATTTGATTTGCCATGCGATATTTGCTTTCTCTCAGTGCGTACATAAAGTGAGTTTAATTAACTTGGAAATGTGTTGTCACTTGACATGAGTTTAGCAGGGAGGGAAGAGCATTCAAAATTATACATATTTATAGCATGAGCGCACAAGTGCGAAAGGAACAAGAAGTGAGTTGAAGGTGGTGCTGGAAGTGGTTTTGGTGGTGTTGCTGCTGCAGGTGGCTGATAAGCTTATAAATAGCCTTAACAAACGGTCAGTTTTTGAGACTGCTCAAATTTGCTCACCCAACTTGGTATAGCAAGAAGAAAAAGTGCTAAAAATATGTATAGCGTAAAAAAAAATATAAAAAACCCAAACAAAATTGAAGTTCAGCAGAAACTGATGTATCGCTGATATGTTCTTGTGTGTGTGTGTGTGAAATTCAAATTAACAAGCAACTGAGCCAGAAATGAATGCGGCACGTTGGGCCGAAGCAGTTAACGACTCATTTTGGCTCCCTCAGAGTCGCGACCAATTCAGGCATAAACCATTCAGTAATTTTTTACCGTCTGGCGACAAAAATTGTGCAAACATTGAACCGGTTGTAGTTGTATTAGAATAAATTTACGCGCATATTTTTTGGCTTTATTTTTTTTCGTTATTCGTTTGCTTTTGGGCCACATTCGAAGTTTGTTTAGACGTGCAGCCGATGGATTGCAGCAGTCATGCTTGTTGCCGAAAACTGCCAGCTGAAAGTGATTCTTGCACGGTTCATTGATGATTAATCGCAATGAACTTGCAATTGTCTGAAAACCAACAAGGTCAACCAGTTGTTATTCTATGCAACTATTCCCTTGAGCATTGCCGCGGAAATGAGCAATCAAATTGACTTCAATTACGGCTAAAACCAATGACTAAAACGGCAAGCATTGTGTATACCTTAAGTGAATGACAAGCTTGCTTAAACGATGTCTTTATTATGGTATGCATTTGAAACGTTCTAATAACTATGTAAGCCCTATAAGAATGAAACTGAATAGCCATAAATTACAGCTGACACAGATCCTCAACTTTACCACATTTTTTGTCAATATTTGATATGAATCAAGGAAAAACAATAATTTTTAAGTTATAATAAAAAAAAAAATTATTTCTATTTCTTATTATTATCAAAGATAATTTTTCAATAGCAAACTTTCCTTTCCTTCCAGTCAATTCAAGAATGGTGTCAAAATCAATATTTCAAGTATCGAAATTTCTCAAAAGAGTATCGCAATTTCGATTATTTGCTCACCCATTTTTTCCCTATGTATGAGTATATATCACGAATATTTAGCACATTATTTATTGAATTGATGTCGGCCCTCTTGAAGCGCCCCCAACACGGGTTCGAGTGCCAATGCGTGCTAGCCGAAAAAAGAGAGACACTGTCAAGAGCAGCACCAAATACGGTGAATGGTATTCTATGTAGTAGGTAGCCGAGTTGCCAGGTGTGTGCCAGGTAAACCGAGTAAACAACAGAACCACCTACAGGCGTATGAAGGTAACGTTAAGCATACGCAATGTGTGCCGTAATTCATGTAACGACTATTTGTACTGGGCCAACGTTTAGTTAGCCAATGGTCAATATGGGAGGCCATCCCCAACCCGCTACGACGAAGCGAAAGTGAGCTGGGACTGGGTCGCAATATTGCCAGCCTAAGTGAATGCTGTTATCGTTGCTGCTGCTGTGCCGGCGTTTTTATTTTCGTTGGGGGTCGTCAACCTGCGGCCGCAGCGCGGGAAAATGTGAAAATCAGCCGTTTTGTGTTTTTGTTGCGTCTGCGCATGACTCGATGAGTTTTCCCCATCGGCCAGTGCAGCGGCATGTGCCTCATCCTCGAAAACTCCTCATTCTCTACCCCTAAGAGTTTTCACAATTGCCAACGTTAGATTCACTTACTGCCGCACCTTATTTCACTTTGGAGTTGCCGTTAAAATTAAGTTTGTTTTTTTTTGTTTACTCTGCTTTTTGCTTTGCTAACTGCGCTTGCGAGTGTGTGTCCCTTATCCTTGTTTGTATTGCAAACACACACCGAAATTTCAACTGTTATTAAGCCAATTATTTTGTTGCTGCCTGCGTCGCGTGGACAACTTCGTCGACAACTTTTGACAACTCTGCGCGTTCGAGAACTTAACGGCACGAAAGCTCAGACGCGACTGAGCAACAGCGGCAACGACATCGCGACTCTGAGAGCGACTGTGGGAGGCAGTGGCGTAGAGCCCTAAACCTCATTGCTGAACGAGGGTTATTCCATAACTAATTCATATATACGTATTTGAGAAAAATTCTCCTTTTTAAACTATTATTCTGTTTGCCAAAACAGAGTAATGTGGTATTAATTACTATAATTGAATTTGCTTGCTTATTGAGCAAGCCACAAACTTTCTTTTTGCATACAACTGAAAATATATTTAATAAAAGTTAATTATTATTTAAAATATTTTGAAAACAATTGATAGAGCCTATCCAACAATTAAATACGGTCCTTATGAGGCTTTTTTAAAATTTTGAATTTCAACGTTCAACTGCCAATGCCATTTTGCTGTTAAATATTAGCAGCGCTGTTAGATAAAAGCAGTGCTGTACTCAAAATGGCACCGTTTGGCAGCTAAAGCTTTTGAAGATTTAAAGTCACAACTGCTTTTGCTTCAACGAGTGCCATAATTCTTCATGTGTTTTGAGCTTTTTGTTTTAATATGCATTTTACAAGCGATCATCATTGCTTAACATCTACATTGTCCAAAAAACAATCTGAAGTATTGTAAATAAACAAATAATATTTCAAATTGCAAAAAATATGTAAATGATTAATTAATGTAAAAGTTGGACAAGGCGCTTTAGAAATCTGTATACGTATTGTAAGTTACAATGTACAAGCTGATTGAATTTAACGCTTTGATTTGATCAGCTTGAGCTATTTTATACTACATCATTTAAAAATATTAAATATATTTGCATATTGTTTTACCTTATACCAATACACACATTATACATAATTACATGTCTTTGGCACAACAAATTTTAAAATAAACAATAATCATAAAATACGTTATCTTGGTGGCCCAAGTCCAGAACATTTGTTGAGTTTGAGTATTTTCTGGCTAGTAAATTAATTTACTGGTGAATTTGAAGCTTTGCTTCAGAGCGACATGTAATTTAATTAGTAAATGAATATACTGGTCAATTTGAAACTATGATGCAAAGCATTTTTATTATAATTAAAAATAAAAGGAAACTGCATAAATGTTCTGTTTTACAGGAATGTTGCAGCAAAAAATTAAGTGAAAAGTAGGTTGACAAATTAGCAAAGTGTTTGACAACTTTTAAATGGTTTTTGCAAAGTTCGGCGGCTGCTGTTCTCTCCGTTTTAGTTGCTGCTGCCTCTGCCGCTGCCTTTGTTGCATGTTGCTGCTGCTGCTGCTGCCTTGTCGTTGTTGTTAGCCATTAACTCACCGAGCGCGTCACAAAGAAGTTGCCACACGCTGCCAACGCTGCCCACAAGGCTAATTAGATTGCTGGATAGTACCGACCTTGTTGCTGCTGCTATTGCTGTTGTTGCTTATGTTGCTACTGCTATAAGGGATACTAAAAGCTGGACTCAAAGGCATGGAAAAATGTGGAGTGCAGAATGGAAGACAACAAAGCAGGTGCCAATAAGTCAAACAATGTTGGCTAGTAAAACCGCTAGCCACTATGACCCAGTTATGTAAATTTTGTAATTTTCCCTTTGACGTCACATTAGGGTCAGCGAGGAGCCAGCTCACAAAGGCAAAAGCAGCCGCCACAAGTTGAAAAAATCACAAACTCTACAACTCAATTGAATAACGCATTACGCAATAAAGCAGGATAATTGTGCGTGTTGCCGCAGAGATATTCCTTTTTAGCACACCTGAGCTTTATTACCGCTTAACAAGTGCAAATGGAGACAAGCGGTTCTCTTCTGAAAGGGTACTTTGGGCAACGCAATCCCCGGTCTACCACCCACTCGACATTTGGCCAATTGCCATCTCTGTGCATAAGAGCCAATATCAAAATCTCAAATCGCGTTTCAAATAACCAACTAATGTGACGGCTGCGACTGCTGCGCATGTCCTCAGTGCGCCACTTGCCACTTGCCACCTGCACCGACCCACCGCAATGTCTTCGTCGTCGTGGTCCTTGTCGTCCCGTCGCAGCCGAGGTGCAGGCAACAGGTGCTCGGGACGCCAGTTAGGATACATTCCTGGTGTCTATAAAAACGCACAAATTGGTCGCCTTTGCCGTTAGTCGCATTTGCTACGCCGTGTCATACGATCTTGTGCTTCAAACATGTTTTTTACAAGTCTTTAACCAATGGTAAAAGTAATCATTAATAAAGATGTCAATAGCTGCAAATCATACTTAATCAAATCTGATCAAACAACAACAGCAATGAGAATAATGGCGCTTCCCTGCTTCAGTTTAACGCGACTCATATTACTGCTGACTCTGCTAATGTCAGGTGAGATATATTAAAGATTAATTTCAAAAATTATAAACATAGATTTAAGGCTTTGCTTAAATAATATGGATACCTCTGAATAGCAGGAAGTATAACAGCAAACTTTTTCTCTAAAATGTTTGTTTATCAATTATGCTTTAACTATTATTGAATAACTATAAAAATAAAAGTTACTTTAATTTTGAGGCGACATAATAAAAGTGCATAAAAGTGTTTTCAAATGTCACACTTTTATTTTTACCATAAGCTCAACCAGTTACCAATTTGATAAGTTGAAGAATGACAAGTATGTTTAAATTGAATGAGACTTCTTGTAGAATTATATTGAACTGAAGTTAAGACTCTTTCAGTGCAAGTGTGCACTCCCATAAACTTCCTTAAAACCTATATTAATGGTTAATGTAAGTGGCATAAGCAAATCGGCGTGACATGAAATAAATATGCATGTGCAAATGTGTTATGCAAAAATCATGTATTCAATGCAGTAACAAATTGGGTAGCAAGACAATCTTATTCCTCGTAAAGAATTAGTATATAAAATAATATTAATATTCTGTGACCTAACAAACTAGAGTACTATCAGAATAGTCACTAGTGAATTATATACACATGCATATACTTGTGAAGCTTACGTAAAAGCGATAAGCCTTAATATATAGTGCCATTTTGTATAAAATAAAAATTGCCTTTCAATCTGAATACTTGTGAAGCTTAAGTAAAAGCGATAAGCCTTAATATATAGTCCCATTTTGTATAAAATAAAAATTATAAGTTTAAATAACAACTATGATATGTGTGTCCATGTGAACAAAAATATATACAAAAATGAATATTAGTAAGATTGTTTATTTTGTATAAAAGAAAATTGTTTGCTTTGTATAAAAGAATCTTACTAATCATCATCCCAATGTACACGTATCCATCGATTAATTGTTTTGTACGTCAATTGATACACATATCAGTAATTAAAATCTGCAATGCCTGAAACGGTAATTGAAAATCCGTTTCAGGATCTCGAAAATATTGCTCACATACATTCACAGACAAATAATGGTATTTGCTCCACAGCGACGCCATTGCGTCCCTCGCCCATCGATGGGGAGGCGGACAGCGTACAGGCCACCTGGGACTGGCCAATGGAAAGGTCAGAAAACTCCTACAGCAATTTTATGCACAACGGAAGGCCTTTGCCAAATTTTAAAACTGGGGAAACGACGCCGGAATTTTTCGATGCAATCGCGAAAGGGTTCAATTTCCCGCTGCTTCCGTTGTCCCTTAACGGTAGACTAAGGCGGCTTTGGCATCAGCGCTACGCAAAGTATCTGAAGGAGCTGCAGCTGCATCAGACGTCTTGGATGGACAATGTGCAATCTCCGGGTGACGAATCCATGCCGAAGCTGAAGCGTAACTCCATCTTATGGCCACCCAATGAAGATAATGAGCAGACAGCTTCCGACCAGCCTGATTACCCTTATGCCTATGTCACGCTCGAGGAACAACATAAACTGAAAGACGAACCGTCCGATTATAAGGGTCCATTATTCAGGCCTTCCATCAGTGCTGGTGGGTAGACCTTATGAGCTACTGAGCACTCGCTTATGTTTATTAGGTACCGCATTTGTCACTCTTCCAGGAGCTATGACCAATCTGGGTGACTTCTTCAAGCAGCTCAGGGCAAACGTGCAGTTTGCCGAGCATTCGCATCAGTTGGACGAGGGGGATTCCCAACTACTTGAGGGAGTGCACCGCCATCAGCTAGAGAAGGAAGAAAGTGACACAAAAGAAAATGAAGTTTCTGATTCCGGTCAGTCATCCGATCGTAAAAAATCCAAGCTGCTGCAATCCTTGCTTAGCTATCGACCCTCCCAGAAGATACGCTCGCTGGTGTCACGCAATCCCAACGGATATCGCGGCTCTCAGTTCATAGATCCCAGCTACATGTGGCTCGGTCTGGGCAAATGACCATAAGCCTTCCATTCACATGGTTACAACGTATGATCTTTCAAAACTTTTATCTGTGTGTACATATATAATATATATTTAAATTTAAAGGCAAGCACTAATAAATGCCACAAAACAAGAATGGCAAAAACTAATTAATCGACTTAACCTACTATTATACATATTTAAAAGTGAATTTTGATGCCAACAAGAAGCAAGCCCGCTGAAAGCAAATTCAGCTCCAAAAACAAAACAAAGTACGACGCAAGCGATCGTGAAATTTGAATATTATATGACTTTTTCAGATTCGCAGCACTTTCATTAGCAATAATTTTATCAGAATATATTAAACTGATGAACATTATAATTGTGTTTTTCAAGGGCAGCTTCTGCAAGCTGAGAGTAGTCTGGAAGGGGTAACCTCAAGCTTGCTTAGGGTTGCTGCAATAAACTTCAAATCAAACTCGACCTACACCTAAAAAAAAACTTAACAGCCTAAATTACAGCTGAGATATGTGTTTTAAAGTTAATGCATAAGTGTATCCACAAAAACTCAATCTTTTGAATCATCAACCGAATTTCATCTTATTCTTATCTGGATTTACACATATTCTTGTCAGATTAACGATTCGATTAATTGTTTTGTACGTCAATAGAAACGCATATCAGCAATTAAAATCTGCAGGACCTCAAACGGAAATTGAACATCCGTGTCAGGCTCTCAAATATATTTGGTTCCTAGGGCACACACATACATATACAAATAATTGCCCCCCTCGCCCATCGATGTGGAGGCGGACGGCGTACAGGCCACCTGGGAGTAGCCAATGAAGAGAAGGTCACAAAACTCCTACAGCTATTTTATGCACAACGGAAGCCTTTTGCCAAAATTTAAAACTGGGAAACGACGCCCGAATTTTCCGATGCGCTGGTGAAAGCGTTTAATTTCCGTTGAAAGGTAAGCGATAACGCCTTTGTATCTGAAGGAGCTGCAGTTGCATCAGACGTCTTGGGTGGGCGATGTGCAATCTCCGGCAGTCGATTTCACAGCGAAGCTGAAGTGTAACTCCATCTTATGGCTATCCAGTGAAGAGAATGAGCACGCAGTTTCCCACCTGCCTGACTGCCCTTATGTCTACAAGACGATAGAGCAAGAAAATTGTCTTTATTAGCTACTGAGCTATTGGCCCATTTGATATTAATTTAAAGATAAGCATTAAAGAATGACACAAAATTATTAAAATTAAATGGAGTTTACATATTTACGATTACATGGCAGATTATAGTAATTTACTGATTTGGATGTTGAAGTACAAACAAACTGCGACCCACTTTCCACCCAATTGGTTACGAAGATCGCGAATTAGCTATATACACAGTCATCTTCAATTCAACTTGACTTAAACTTGCACATAGTTAAAGTCCAAGGTTTTCTGATATACGAGTGTCCTGCGGCTGATTAGCAGGCGAAAGTTTTCGAATCTGCTTGAACAGCAAATGGATGCCAATGTGCTAAAGCTGTTAAAGATAGAGTTAATGAAAAGTTAGTTATGTATACAAGCGTACAAGTTTTTATCTGGTGCATATGGTAAATAAAACTAATGCACGCGATAAGAGGGAGATTGACTCGACCACTCATTTCCCGCCAGTGAGACGACAAATAAAAGAACGTATAATATATAATGCCGATGACGAATGGAATGTCAGAACTGATTATTCAGAACAACAGCAACGAATGACGCTCCTGCATGGGAGAACGAGAGATGAGCACAGTTGAGCATACGAATTTACAAGCATCGACACAGATCAAAGATATTTCCAGACTCCTCTTATCTTAATAATGCCCATAAAGAGCAAGCCCGAAGAGAAACAATTCAGCACACAAAAAAAAAAAAAAAAACAGGCAAACGATGCAAGCCAGCATCGATGCAAGTAAGCATTTGAATTTCGTCACCATACGAATGATAGGCAACAATCCCTTTAAAATGGAATAAACTGATGGACAATGGATTTGTCGTCACAGCTGGGACCATAATTCCAATAAAGCCCACGATGATGCCAGCTATTTTGAGGCACATTCTGCAAAAGCTTTTCAACATTTTGACAGACTGCGAATATTTTAATTAATAAATTCAGATAAGAGCTTTAGCAATTTGGCTCACAATTGAATTGATGTATAAAATTAAAAACAGATGCCAAAATAAATACGCCCACTGACTTATAGATAGCACCTTTTGCTAAATACAAACGTATACAAAGCGTGAATCTGCTTATTGGAATTGTGTGTATCTAAAAAGAATAATAATAATAATTGAAATGGATAAGTTAAATACGTTCTTAAACACATACTCATTCGCATATATTATTGAATTTCGTAAAGTACAGAAATGAATATTCTCAATTTCATATCAATACATCTCGGGAATTTCGTGCGATTAAAATTGTTACTTACATGTGTGTGTGTGTGTTGGATTCTCAGTAATTAAGTAAACGTACATATGTATATATGTATGTACAACAACGAAAAAATCCCCCAGTCGCAATGAGTTGTGAGCTTTGGCAATACCCATGTTTGTTTGTTCTACAGGCTATATATAAATAATAATGTTACTTGTTGCCCTGCGATTGCAAAACCGAAAAACCTGGTGTTCCCTACTGAAAAGTGGTCAATCACGTTTTCTCCATTAATTTCCATTGAATAAAATTGTTATATGTGCCTACGTACATATTTATATGCCATATATAATTACATTTAAAAGCAAAGCCTAACACACGACACAAAAAAACTTAAAACGAAAAAAAGTTGTTCTTTTTTCAATTAAATATATACAATACAATACGTACATGCTGTGCATTTGAGTTTTAACAAGAAATATATTTGTTTATATTTGTATATCCACCAAATTTGTATTTAGCCTGCAGCATATTGGCACAAATGAAACAAAAGTTGCTTTGGAATTCGCAAAAGCTCCCAGCTGCAAATGAACATCTCCCTTATCGATGCGAATTTCACCATATTTCTCATTGATACATGGAACCCACAACTCAAAGCCAGCTTTTGACAACGTCAGCTGCTTTGGTGCAAATGCGGCCAGCCTGGTATTCCCCACTCCAAGACAATCGTGATTTTTCAATACCTATCGATTCAAACTTGTATCTGTGTGTACATATGTATATATTTATTTTTTTAAATAAATGCCTGAAAAATGGCAGAAAATATTTGATCATTGTTACATTTTTCGATATTACGACAATACACTATGTGCATGCGTATGGCTAATTTAATTATAACATCAAAAATATATGATTTTCGTTATAGTTGAAAGCTTATTTCGCTTAAGGCGTTCCACATCGTTAAATCCTATTGGACCCCGGGAACTTAGATTTTGGTATATGTGGGATAAGTGTTGCTCTGCTGTGGCACGGCCATGCCCTGCGATTGGACTATCAGCGGTCGCTGCTGATCGCGTGAGGCCTGAATCTGCTTGAACAGCGAGTAGATGCCATAGTAAATGTAGATTTGTAAGGCTGAACGAGAACGAGAGAGAGATGGCGCAAGGAAATGCGCAGTTAGTTTCGTACTGTACGAGTTTATATGTATTGAACAGTAAATACATATGTATGTATATATTTGCAAAAGAGCCGGCAAGTAAACACATGCATACATACATACATACGTATACAAAGTGCACATGTGTGTGCTGTGCAATCGAATACACATTGATTTCTCCAATGGGAGTGGAGTGAAGAGGGGAGGAGACCGTGACTCACCAAGTGCAAGTAAACTCAAAATCAGGGCGGGAAAAGCGTTGCCTATCGCACCACCCGAAACCGACATAAATAGGAATGCCATTTGATATATGATGGCGAAGATGAGTCCGACTCCAGAATTGATCAGCCACGGCAACAACAGCAAATGGCGCTCCTGCATTGGAGAAAAAGAGATGATCATACACACTTTATAAAATGCAAATACAAACAGAAGACGAGCAACAACATCAACTGATGACTTTCACTTCACCTCCGCCATCCACTCACCTTCATAGTGCCCAGGATAAGCAGAGCCGATGACAGCAAATTGAGTATAACCATGGCCAAATAGACGCTGCACACAATGATAATGGCTGCATGACAAATGATTAAGTTTAACGCATCCGATTCGCCACCGCCTTTGCACTCCCTCTCTTTCTCTTTCGCTTACCCGTGTGGACTTGTTCATAATTCACGTCCATGTGATCCATAACCTGTTTGGCAAGCACATCGGAGTTGCCCAACACGACGGACGCCAGAATCATCAACACAAATGAGCCAACAACACCCAACCAGCCGAGAACGACACCGGCGGTGTTGAGGCGCATGCAACACAGACTTGTCAACATTTTGCACTCGTTTTTGTTTTTTTTTATCAACAAATTCCAAAATGGACTACCTTCAACAATAAAACCACAAAAATTAATTACTTTGTATAATGTAATCCGATGCGAACACAAAACAAGCACACATATTTACATATGTATAGATACACATATGTGTGTAGAAAAGCGAACAAACCTTTAGCTAGAACTTTATGTAGATGCCTCGTACGCGTCTCTAATGAGAATGAATTCAATGTTGTGAAATGCGCAGCAACGTTGTCGGCTAAGTGATAGAGTTGTGCTGGGATGAGACGTGCAAGTCACAATCACAATATTGCTGACGTGTGGATTTTAGATGTTTATCGAAATGTGAAGCAAATAAAAATGCTATGCTGATGTTTAAGTTATTAGAATATTCAATTATAACTATTGTTACAACATTTCCCAGTGTTTAGCTTCAGACAAGTCGATAAGCCTTTTTAAATATGCATTCACATTGCTAGTCACAATTGTCACTTTATGCACAAAGTAGCAGTTACATTTCACAGCGTGACTTATGTTAACTAATAGATATTGCCAGACTGCTAATATTTTAAATGTAATTAAAAAATATATTTGACAGTACTGTTAAGCTATGGCTCTCTTCATCTCCAGTGGGAGATGAATGTGGCACAGAATTTGGAGACGCGTCAGTTAAGGTTAACCTGTTGCGCGCGCTAGTAGTGTTTTAGTTGAAGTGTCTTGGATCATTCCGTTTCAAATCTGGGAAAAACTGCTAGCATTGTGAACGTCACTCAGTATTTAAGCCAAGCCTAAATATGAAACTCGAGCTAACCGTCGATCGTGGACCATGCGATACAGAATTACGTAGCTGGTGCCTGGGCATAGCGATCTATACGCTAATTGCCATAGCATTAAATACGTTATTTGCACCAGGGGGTGAGTAAAACAATATATGTTTCATTACCTTGTCGTCTCCTTATATACATGTATGTGTGTGTGTGTATGTTTATAGGTTTTGTATTTTTGTTGTGAGTTTTCTCCATTTAATTTGATGCTTCCACACACACACACACAACATACACACACAACATACACACACATACACACACACATGCGGTGACAGTCCCACATTTAATATGTATGTGTTCATGAATATAGCTAAACGTAAATATAAAGAATGAGCTAATGCTTAAGCTATAAAAGGCGTTTCAAAACGTGTTCTCATGACGAGGGCGAATTTTTCGTTTTTCTATTTTTTTTTTTGTTTTTGTTAAATTAATTTATTTTATTTTTTTGAATTACATACATAGTTTGGAATTTAAATGACAATGATGCCAAGTTTGAATACAGTGATGATCACACATAGATTAATTCTTATATTTCAGTTATGTCTTTTATTGCTTTTGCAATTGCTCTCATTGCAAACGTTTGCTTACTTATTGGCTGCCTCCGGGTAAGTTTATATATTTATACGTATACTTTTATAAATAGAAAATGTTTGTAGGCATTCATTCATTCATTCGTTTTAAATATAAGAATTTTGATACTTCCGATATGGGACCAACAAGTAGTTGGTTCTGATAAGCCATATCTATAGGTGAAGATTGCTCTTACAAATGTATATATATTTACATTGTGATGACTGGGCGGCAAGCCACACACACATTTTTGTTTTTTTTTGTTCCAATGTGAGCAACAAGTGTTAAAAATGCTAATTTTGCCAACAACACAAAATAAGCGGCAATTTGTAATCTGCTCCCATTGGAAAAAAAGAGCGTATACCTGGTCGTCAGATTAAGATATATATACATAACGGCTGCGATTTAACTCTAGTATTTAAGTCTACGCAAGGTCGTACGCAGGGCGGGATAGCTGCTAACGAAATTCAACACCCCCTTCACGATAAGCTGGGCACGCCCTTGTGCATACACTTCTTTTACATTGAGCAGCTTACAAACTAGACTTAAAATGCACTTGAGATGAACATACAATCAGTCAGAAAGTAGATTATATATTTTGCACTATAAATTTAAAACACCAACCGATCTTTTTTTACGAAATGATGTGTGGGACTAACTTCTATTGTCTTTGCTAAAATGGGAATTAGCTTATTCCGGAGTGCGAGACATTATTATATTTTGTTTACTGTTCAAGGTCTTTTTTCGAACATTTGTGTATATATATGTATATGTATATGTACACACCTATCTTGATTCCACAGCTTAAATCTTTTGAACGATTGTTCCCATGTCAGCTGTATAGTTCCTGTAGTGATCTGATGCGGTCTGATCCGACATATGTAATGCCTATTGCAAAAATATGGATAAATGCCAAGTTTCCACAATAAAACTGCTTTAAAACTAAATATAAAAATATATAAAAAATGGGGACAGGCCATTCTGACCGACAGACCAAAAAGAATATATAATTTTTGTACAATGGTACACAACAAGCGCGAAAGAACTATACATATTTATATAAATATACATCTGTTTGCATATATCTGTGTCCACCGTAAATCAAGTTTTCAAGATTTTCATATATTTCAAATTTGATAGCATTAGACATATTTACGCATCTTTATTGCTAGAGCTAGCTGTTATTAATCAGTTAAAGGGCATCTGCCGTTTGTTTTCACATTACGTATCCAATTTCCTCATAAAAATAAACATTGTACATTTCCACATCTATAGTAAATACTTACATATATATATATATCTGATTTTCCTTGCAGTATAATCATGTGCTTGTTGGCATCTGGCTGATATATGCCATTCTAATAGCCATCAACTTTCCGTTTGCCATATTCGGCACCATCTTCCACTTTGGTGGCTATCGGGAGAGCAGTGGTTTCAACAATGTGTTCTTAGCACTGCTCGTTTACATTATACAACTGCGTAAGTTCTTTTTTGATGTGTGACTTTCATTGAACTTGTGAAAAATAGATGTTATCCTTTGTTCCTTCTTCTGTTTTTGCTCCCCCCCAGTGATTTGCGCCTTTTGCGCTCGCATCGTCTACTCGTACTACTTGCAGCTGAAGGGACGCCAGACGAGTCCGCAACACTCGGTCGTCGTTTGAATCTCAGCTCTTGCCAGCCACCGTTTGCATTTCGTCTTAATCACCTCTTTTCAGTGCATTTGCCGGCAATTGTTTACTTTAAGAATCTAATACCATGTGCCTTCTTATATAAATACGTTATATATATATTTATATGTAATAGATTTGTAATAAAATACGATTTGTTCTATTGAATTACAATTTGTCGTTAAACATGTTATTTGTTATTTACTTCGGCGCAGCTATCAACAGTTTGAAATATACATATACATACATACAGGGTGCTATTATCAGCTAAATATTTCATAGGACTTATGCAACAGTTAAAACAATGCTCATTAATACACATAATCGACTATATTGGATATATCTACTATACTGCACACTAACTAACTATCTATCGTATCATATCGTATCGCTTGCTTGGCCCACTCCCTAAACGTAAAATGGAAAGTTTGTCTTCTTGGTTGTTTGCGTGAAGCTTGTCTCCGTCTCATTTTGGCTGCTGAGTTTCGCTTGAACCGCCGCAAAGAGACGCGCCGTCTGCCCGGAAGATGGAGGCGTAGCTCCACCGATGCCACCCAGATTCAGCTCCAGCTCGAACTGTGTCAGGCTTGTTGTTGTTTGAATGTGGGCCTGCGTCGTCTGCCTGTAGGCCGCGACCAGTTTTCATCTGGGCGTTGTTATGCTGGGCAGCTTCTCCAGGAAATCTTGGGCGAGCACATCTTCGATCTCCTTCAGACAGTTGGCCACCGTCTGCTCCGTGTCGGCATAGTTACACGGATGTGGACAGGTGATGCCCAGCGTGGAGAAGAATGGATATAGCTCCTGCAGCGATTGCAGTTGCTGGAAGCCCAACATCAAATGACGATTACGCGGACGCTGCAACAGCTGTGCAAGGTGATTTAATTTAGTTGCGCATCTCAATCTCAAACAGTAAACGGTGACCCATTGAGATGTCCACTTACCGGCGAGTGACTGGTGTATTTCATGTCCATGAGGCGCGCCACGCGACGCACGTGCGGCACATAGAGGGCATTGGGCAGCGCTGCCAGATTTTCGATGCTGCCATTAGGCAGCGGCAGCGGCACCATTTCCTCATGCACATCGAACTCGGTACCAACGAAGGCCCAGCGATACATTTGAAAATGCGGCAGCTTTGTCGCCGGCAGCACACAGCCCAGTTCCAGTAGCTTGCACGCCTCCAGTTGCACCGAACGCCACTGTTGCATGGGCGTCTGCGCGTTTATTCCATTGCTGGCGCTCGAGTTGGACGACGACCAGGAGACATCAATGCCAGGCAGCAGTCGGCTTTGCTGGCTGTAAGTGATTAGTAGTTATTAATTTTGATTTAATTACAGTTGAAACATTTAATTGGTTGTCGATATTTGATTCGAACCCACCTGCGCTCATCGCTCTCCGATTTCAATTCCTGTTCCATTTGTAGGAACACTTGCACCATTTCAGCTATGATGATGGGCCACAGCGAGGTGACGTGATCGGGCGACATGCGCAGCAACAGGACACGGAAGCACAGCAATACAGCGGCCTGCACAGATGGACCCAGGGGTACCAAACGCAAACTGTTGGCCAATTGCTCTGCAAAGGGAAATGCAAGTAAACATTAATAAAATAATAATAATAATATCTTTGCTATTTAGTGACACTTACCCTGAATATCTGGCATGTACTTGTTGTGCTGATCGAACTCACTACAGTAGATGACAAAGGCGAGACGCTTGAGAAGCATGGCGCGCAGCTCGTATTCCTGGTCGCGCGACGCGAAGATATTGAGGCTTCCCGCCTGGGAGAGCGAGACGCGGGTCATTAGCTCGCGGAATGTGGTATTGTCATAGGTCATCAGACTGTCCATGATCTGCCGCCAGAATGGCAGGCATGAGATGTGCATCTGAAAGAAAGTGGTGTCCAGCAGCAGATCGAGCATATCCTTGCGCCACGCCTTGCGCGTATACTGATAGACACTGAGGCTGGCCAACAGGGCGGAGCACGCATAAAAGAAGGGCACATTGCGAGCCGTATGATTCTTCAGATACGGCGTTATATTGTACAGCAGCGTGGTCACAATCGTCACCACCTTGTCCTTCTCCTGCGAACCGTACGCAACGTCCAGCAGATTGGAGAGTATGCCAGCGAGAACGCTTTGCGCCTGCAGCGAATACTGCTGAATGCCGCCGCCGAGACTATTATCCTTGGCGTGGCCATCCGTATCCTCCTTAACGGCCAGATTTCGACGCAGCCAGGTGGTCTGCTCTAGACAGGCGCCCGCCACACTGGACAGCGAGTCCACCAGCCGAGCGGTGATATCGTGGAGTTCACGCACCTCCTTCTTGTCCGGGAAGGGCATCTGGGGACAACGCTGCACAAACTCATTGAGCAGCATCAGCAGCGCAAACTGTGCAGGCGGCGAAAGACTTAGACCATCTCTAATCAGCACCAGCAATGCAGCCCAAGCATCTGCCAGCTGTAGCGCCGGAGCCGATCTCATGTAGAAATAGAACAGCTCCAAGGCGCTAACCTCAATGCTGAGCTGTGCGGGTGGCCGGTGAATGGGTGGTGGTGACTTGACCACCTGATGCAGTGTCTGCACAAACGAATCCATCGGCATCACCCGAATGCTGGACACCAGCGACACAAGACTGAGCTGAGCCGGGCATGCCTGCAGCGTGGAGTTGCGCTGAAACTGCTCCGAAATGCTCAAGGAGCTGTTGTTATTGGTGTTGTTGCTACTGCAACCTCGCTGTTGCCAGGTGACTGCAATCGCAGCTAGGAAGTTGCAGCCATGATGTAATGAGACGGGAGAGAGAAACTCCAACAGCTGTTGTCGCACCGGACGCAATTGACCCAATTCGCTGTCCCAAATGGCCGCAACGCTTGTCATGATCCGTGGCAGATGCGACAGGACAGCATTCCGTGCCGCCTGTAATTGTGGATTACGTGGCGCCGAGGCAGTCGACGAGGATTCATTCGCCGAGAGAAAGGAGTGCACAATGCTATTAAGCAATTGTCCCGTGCTGGAACTTTGTGATGCGGCACTAGTCTGTGGATAGGCCTGATTGAAGAGATGCGAGAGCGCTGTCTGCTGTGTGTTGTCCAGCAGGCAGTAGTGACAGAGAATGGTCAGCGCCTCCAGCTGGACGAGCACATAGTCGGGCGGAAAGTGACGCTGCTGGGGCAGCGTGAGCCGGGCCAGGCGATCCAGATTGTTGCACAGCTGATGGACCACGCTAATCACAATGTTTGTAAGCGACCCGAAACTGAAGCAGTTCAATGAACTGGTCACCAGATCCGTCCAGTTGCGATGCAGGTGCCGCAAGCGCTCCTGTTGCAGTGCACCAAGCACGGCGGCGAGGAACATGGGTTGCTGACTGATCAAACAGTTGGGCAAGTATTTGACATTGGCAGCTGCTCCCTCGGCTAGCCGTGTGGGCGATGCATTCCCAGAGCCATTGTGGTGATCGTCAGCAGCGCCCGTGCTGGGCGTATCCTGACGCAACTGATGTACCTCATTCTCCAGCCGTATGACGGACAATAGAAGCCGCAACAGCTGCAGCTGAAAGCCATCTGCATGCAATTGATCATCCTGTGGATCATTAAAGCTAAGCACCTTATCCGCATAGCTGGTGCCGCCGGCTCGCCGTCCATAGCTGCAGACGGAGCTATTGAGGCAGTGCAGCATGACCTTTTGGAGCTTGGCACGCGCCAACAGATCAGCAATATAGCAGGCCAAGCCACGGCCCATACCCTTGACAATCTCAATCAGTTCCGTGCAGATGAGCGCCAGCAGCTCAATGCTCTCCAGCTGAATCCGCCGGTTGTTCACCACATCCTGCAGCGTTGGCGGTTGTCGCTGGGCATCCAACGATTCACGCTGAAAGTAGCCACGGGCATAGAACAACAGCAATGTGACCAACAGTTCCAGATGCATGCAGCCCCGATATCCTTGAGCGTACTCCGAGTTGCCAACGCTACCGTCAAACCCTTTGCCAGAGATGCTCTTGCGATGCCGGATGAGCAATTGCTTCAGACTGCCGCTCGTGAACGATGTGGTTATAGAGAGGCAAAGGAACGTTCGCTTGTCGCAGCAGATGATGTTGCGCAACGTTTGCAGTGCGTAGAGCGTCTGTCTAGTGTCATAGATAGCCAGATATAGCAGCAGATGATTGTGATAGAGATGCGCTGAATCCGTCGCCATGTGGCGAGTGATGCCAATGCCCAAGGAACTGCTGCTCTTTGTGGAGGAACGTATACTCTGCTGCTCCTCGGCAGCGGCAACGGCAGCAGCTGCTGCCGCATTCTGACGCAGAATCTCCACATTCTGTTTGCTCTTCTCAAGCGTCTTTTGCCAGTCGGCCGGCTGCAGTTTGCTGGTCTCCAGGCACAGATTGCGTCGCTTGTCCTCCACATTGATGGTGCATTGGCTGGCCGCCTCATTACCTAGCTCTGGCTCCTCCTCGCTGTGCTCTGTTTCCAATTGCTCTGCGGGATTGCTGTGATTGCTGTCCGTCGAGGTTTTCGAGATGCAACTGAGACGCTTCTTCTCGCTGCTGCTGAGTAGCTTCTTACGCTTGCGCTGCTCCTTAGACTCCTTGGTTTGCTTTTTGTCGACGGCTGCCTCGTTGAAATACTCATCTGCCGGCAGGGCATGCTCGTTGTCCGGTGCCTGTTCCGCGGGCTCATTGAGACTGGAGTCACCTGGTGTCTTCTCACGCGTCAATCGATACGTTTTGCGACTCTTGATCCGCTCGTATTGGGTGAGTGTTTCGGTAACACGCTCGCAGTCGCCAACAAAACGCTTGACATCATCGCTGGCGGCAGCAGCGCCGCTGGAGCTGATCGTGAGGCTATCTTCCTTGTCAATGCTCGTCTCGCGCATCTCCGAGTCCGACTCGAATTCACTGCTCTCCGACTGATCGGTTATGTCCTGGTCGTAGTGCAGAGAGGGCTCCGGCTCCGGATTGGGCGCTGTTGCTGTCACCTCATTCTCATCCATTGCGCTGGCCAGCTTTTGCTCCAGCGGCGTTTGCGGCGCATCCTTGCCAGCCGTATGAACTAGCTCAATGCGCGGCTCCTCCAGATCCGTTTCATCATCGAAATCATGTGCATTCTCCAGCGGATTAATGATCAGACCAATGGTGTTAATGTCCTGCATTGCCTCACTGGCCAGCGGCGCCTTGTCGCTCACAAAATTTGACGTTTTATTCGATTTGCCACTGAGCGTGACGCCAAAGATCTTCTTGGGCAGATGTCGGATGGGACTCTTCTTCTTGGCACCGCTGCTGCCGTGACCAATGCCGCCTGTGGAGCTGCTGCTGCTGGCCGCCTCCATGTGATGATACTTAACGTTGCCCTGCTCCGAACTAATGGCGTACACATCGCGCTCAAATGCCGGCGCCTGTTGATCCTCATCGCCAGCGTGCTCCGCATCCGTTGCTTCGCGATATAGTTGCTGCATATGGACAATGCCGACACGCTTCGAACTGGCGGAGAGTAAAATCTTGTAAAGCGGTTTAGTCAAACGAGCCAAATCGCCACGCAAGAGCGAGGCCTGCAGCCAGTTGCTGACGAACGTGCGCTCGGACATGTAATGCGGCAGGGCTAGCGTGTCGAGCACCTTGAGCAGAGTCTTCTCGAAGCCACGCGACATCTGCTTCTCCCTGCCCAGATGCCAGAGTAGCTCGAACTTTTTGTAGCTGCGCGCCTGACTCTCGCGCAGACGATCCAGGCAGACAGAGGGACATAGAAGCTGGACATCTGTCATCCGTTCCAGCTGGAAGCTGCGCAACGAGTTACTATGCCCGGTTTGTGACTGTGCCTGCAGCAGATGCTGGGCATGCATCCGATTGCCGATTATCGACTCGACGAGGCCACTGTCCAGGCAGCTGTGCAGCTGATGCAGCAGTGCTGCTATTTGCGAGGGATCAATGCCCGGTGTGCCCAAATAATCCCACAAAATGGAGCTGACCAGCTGAAAGATGCGCGTGTGCTGCTCCATATAGCTAACGTGCCCAAATTTCAGCAGCGGCAACATCACCACAAACGTAACACCCGGTCCAGTCGTGTGCTCGATCTGTGAGCGCAACAGGCTGCAAGCAAGCAGAGATGTGAAACTTCAGTATACAATTGATATAGTTATAATGTGTGGTAAATCGGAGCATAAGGAACGTTTCGCTGCTTATTATCAACTCTTGAAATTCAGTGTTCCCATTACCTAATCAAATCGAAGAGCGTAGTAATGGAAGCCACCTGTAGCTCCTTATCGCTCTGAGCAAAGCAGGCCACAAGACAAAGAACCTTCAGCCAGTTGGGCAGTTCCGGCTCTAGAAAAGAGAGAGAGAGAGAGAGGATTATTTATATATGTACTTTGCACAAGCTGTGTTATGCTGATCATTACCACTCTTGTCCAGCACAATATGCTGATTGCAATTGGGAAATGTGGACATCTCGACGAGCAGCGTGGCAGCCAATTTAATGGCAGAGCGTAAGGCCGAACTCAATTGCAGATCAGATAGCTGTTGAACGCTGCGCTGTGTTTGGGTATCGATGAGTAGCTTCTGCTGGGGCTCATCGCAGGCGTCGCTGTCGCTGCTCAGCTCACTGGCGGTGACAGTGGACAGTGAGAGATTGAGCAGACGCTGCAGCTGCTTGGAGCGCGGCATCAGATCCACACGCAGCAGATTAAACAATCGATCGATTTGTGACTCACGTACCGAGCTCTTTTGCTCCAGCACTTGCTCCACCGTAAACATACTCGAGCTGTGGCTGGTGCTGCGCTGTAGTTGCACCTTAATCGCACATTTCGCACTGAAATCGGAGCTGTCTGGGCTGGCGGCTGTTTCAATTTGCAGCACCTGGCGGGCGATGTAGACCTCAAAGAAGATCTCGTATTGTCGTATACATTTCTCTAGTATTGAGAAACCGCGTTGTTGCTGCGCATTTGTCTGTTCCTCGTCCAGTTGGAATTCAGCACAGTTTTCTGGGGGTGCACTCTTAGGCGGCTCCTCGCCTGCGTCATCATTTACATCACTAGACACTGCTGGGCTGGGCGCTATAACAATGTCCTTTGGTCGTGTTTTCTTCGGGCTGCTGCGTATAAAGGGCACCTTGGCTTTGGCCTTGATCTTTTTAATGCTACGCGGCGTGTCCAAATCTGACGAGGACTGCTGGCCTGTATCCGAGGCGCTTATCTGCAATGGGAAAGGGTATTTTTTTAATATTCGTAATATAAATCAGGTTAATTGGGCATTTACATCTTTGTCCAGTTCGGAGAGTCGTGAAAAGGATTTGGCCTTCTTTTTGGGACTGTGCCGCACCACGCTCTGATTGGAGGCCGAACGTCGGATTAGCTCCTCATCATTGGGTTCGGCACTCTGCGAATGCTCGCCAAATTGATTGAGTCGCGAATCAGATTTACTCTTCTCTAGCGCATTGGCGGCTTGTGTCGTCGACTCCAAAATGTTGTTACTGTTGCTGCTGCCTGCGGCATTGGCAATCTTCTCCATGGATCCTGAGGTGCTCTGTTCCATCACCTTATTCAGTTTAATTGGGCTACTGCAAACAATATGTAATTGATATATAAATATATATGCAATATGTTATAAGAATGTTAATAGTGAAGATATCTTAAATAAGATAAGATGTTATCAATATGATATAGTTAACCGGGTCGATCGACTTCGACATACATACATACATACATATCTTCTACATACATATGTTCTACCCGCCACAAAAAAAAAGATAGCTTCAAAGCTAAGTTAGCAAGAATATATAACTATAGAGAGATGTATCCGTCAATATTCTCATCATTTAAGGATCACCCCCAGTCACTTACGTTATCATTGGTTGTACACGCGAGACAATCTTCATGCAGAGCTTTAGGGAGGCGGTGATCTCATCGCTGCTCATGCGATCCACGTGGATGGAGAGTAGCTGGGTAACGGCCAGAAATACTTTCGGCAAGTAGACGCGTGTGGTTTCCGTGTACATTTCCAGTGAGATGGTTTCCAACAGAAATTCGGTGAGCACGCAAATTTCCAACACACAGGGATCACCGGAGCCAACGATGCTGACGAATTTGCCATCGCTATTGGACTGGGCAGAGGTGGGCGCCTGCTGGCAGGCGCGCTCAAATATGTTGGTCATGTAGCTCCAGATGTACGCCGGATCGAAGGTGGCAAACAGCAGATTGGCCGACTTGAGCGCGTCCGCATTACTGCTAGAAATGTACATGGTGCGAATTATGTCATGCAGCACAAAGTCTAGCACGGCGCTGCCGATCTCCGCCTTGTCCAACAGCGACAGCATAATGCGATACGGCTTCAGATCCATGGGCTGGCACTCCAGGCTCAATCGCAGCGTGCTCACCAAAGCGTTAATTAGTATGTGCCGTGAATGCGTTATAAAATATGGCTCCTCCTTCAGGCCATCGATGGGCGCTGAATCTAGCGATAGTGTGTCATAAGTGGGCGAATTTTTCGTCACCTCACTGGCCAGCAGCCAGGAGAAGAGTCGTTTATTTAGCGACATATCGCGTCTCAGTATTGTATTCAGTCCGTTCGTAACCAGCACCACCAGCTGCTCCTCCTCCAGAAGGCGGGTGTGCATGGGAAAGCCGAGCAACAGGAACTCCAGCGTATTGCGCTGCACCAATATCAGAGTATCGTTAAGGCAGGCGCACAGCGCCGACATCATGATCTCTCGATTGTGACCCATTATGTATATCTGTTTCTGCATATCCAGGCGCTTATTGAAGTGCTCCAGCAGAAATGTAATTGCGGGCAAGCGTATCGCTGCATTATTAGCCACAGATTCCCATAGAACCGTATAAAAGTGCATCGGATTGACAGCCACGCACACATTCTTGAGCAACGCACTAATACGCTCAAAATGATCCAGTCCACAATCATAGCCGGGCAGCACGCCACTCAGGAATCCACTGAGCGCAGGCCGCAGCTTATCGCCCAACGGCGCAAAGTATGTCTCATAGATGGTCAAGAGTGCCGGACGCACATTCATGGCCGCATAGCCGAGCAGTGGAAAGAGTCCAGCACTAGAGTAGATAGGAATAATTTACATTATTTTTATAACTTTTATTTTTACTTTCATGTTACTCACCCATATATAAACTCCGTTGCCAGACGTTCTGGTCCCGTTTTGCTGAATATCACCGAGTACGTTTCCAGTGCCTTTAGATGCACACCCGAGGGCAGGGCGGGATGCATGCATTGAGCCAGACGCTTGGCAATCTTCAGGCGTCTGGGTATGACCTGATACTGCGAATTACTTGATATCGCCTGTGGCAAAACGAGATGACGACGAAGACAAAATTTATAAGACAACAGTTGAAAAGGGCTTACAAATACAAAATTTAAAGTCACGTTTTTTACGGCTATAACAGAATAAATCTATATCTATCTATCTATAAAGATAGTGGACAATACTAATTAAACATATATATTTAAGGCGAAGTCTATATATATAAAGTAGTTTCTGATTTATTCAATAATTTAATGATTGTGCTTGTTTAACAAGCTAAGTAAACAATCTGTAAAGTTAATCTTTCAAATTTAATTATATACAAAAGGGAACTAAACTGGTTTTATGGTATGTACATACATTATTACAAATAATGAATAGTATATGATACAAATTCTGATTTATGTTCTTCAGCAACATACAATTTTTAAAGTACTAATTAAAATCTTTCTAGGCTGGGCAAAGAGAAACACTCAAAGTGTAAATTACTAAATGATTTGATTTAAAAAAAACCACCGCAATTGCGCGAATGTACAAATATATTTGCGATAAGGGTGCCTGCGTTGTTTCAGTAAATTGCCGCATGAATCAGCGGTGGAGCAAATGCTGGCTTTTTATTTTGTGGGTGTATGGGTGCAGCCGGGTAAAGTAGCGCGGGTCAAGCTTACTTATTGATGTATTGATGGATATATTATAAACAATGCATAGTGCATTATACCAGCATACCTTGCTCAGTTTGCCCAGTGCGGATATTAAGTCCGCCCACTCGCTGGAGTACTCAAAATTGCGCAGTGCTTTATCTATGTTCGTCATATATTGACGATACTTCGCCTCGGCCATGAGCTTCTGCTCCTCGACGAGCATGTCCGCAGATTCCATGGCGTCAATTGTATCCGACTCGATAGCTTCAACTGAACGATACAAAAAAAAAAAAAAAAAAACAAATCAAATAAAATCAACAATAACAACAACTATAAGAAGAAAATCAATAACAATTAACAAACACTTGTTGCCGTTCGCTTGCGTTTCCTTGAGTTTGAGTTTAAGTTTTTTCTATTTTTGTGTGTTAAGTTGGTTTTAACTGTAAATTCATACATATTTAATGAGTGTGGCATCTGCGTCAACTGCAACAACTGCTTGCCAACCAACAACGATGGACAACAAAAATGTTGAAATCACTAGCGAAAATTGCTAGTTTGTGTGAGTGAGTCTGTGTATGTATGCGTGCTTATGGGTTCTTTGTTCACACACACACGCACATACACACAGATGTTTGGCATCAGTTTAGACCCAAATTGAATTTGATTTCTTTTGTATATATTTCACATTTCACCTTATTAACCCCCTCAAGTCAACAGCAGCCTTGTTTTCTGCTTGCTGTCTCGCGCACGTCACACAATTTACTGCGATCGCAATTGCTGTGACGACGACTTGAGACTCGCGACTTGCGCCTCGCGACCAGCTGATGACGAATTTTTGCAGACAGACGACGACTTTTGTTTATTGTATTGTTGAATTATTATTATTTGCAAGTGGCGTTGAACGGTCCCTCTACGACATTTTGTGTCGCCATCGGTAATTGCACATGTTTATAATTATTCTAGTCTATTGATTTACATTGCAAAAATATACGTTTTGCCAACAAAAAAACGAATCACAATAAAATAATGCAGACTGCTGGTCGTGGTCTTATATTTTCCAATGCATTGTATAAAATATCGATATATCGATAGCTACTCTTGGTTATAGTGGCATGACACTCACTCATTTTTTCTTCCGATATTTTTTTCTGTTTAGAAAAGGTATCGTGAAATTATTGGATGATTATACATTTTTATCAAATGTTTTTCTTGTATGACTATTATTTTAATCATGAAAGAAACTTTATCTAAGGTGGTTTAAACAAAACATATACCGTGTAAGCGCCTACCTCTCATGTTATTGGCCAAAGTCTATATGATAGTTTTACAATTTTAAATCTATAAAACTATGTATGTATATGGATTCGAGTTCAAATAAAAAATCTATTAAATGGGAAAATTTGTTTTTAAATATCGCCATTAAAAGAATTTGTCATTATATCAAAGTCAATATATTTATTTTTCTTTTTTTGCACAAGCTGAATAAATTACTAAAATAAGTCAGGGTAATACTTGTAAATAAATAAAACCATTTTAAATGCAAATTCAACGCATAACTTAACAAAAATTGAATAGAAACTGTCTATGAAAAGTTGATGACCTTGAAATAAGGTATATAATATATGACTGAGCATTACTTTTTCTTCTTATTCTTGCCCTGAGCTCCAGCTACTGGTGCACCTGTCAGCGACGACAGCTCCTTTTTCAGATTCAAGAGTATGTCAACCTCTGGCTTCCAAATGGTAGCATCTCCACTGGCTTTGAGGGTGCGCACCTTCTCGCCCTGCTTCGTGATCTTATCTTCCAGATCTTTGACTTGGGTGGCCGCATCGGGAGCTGCTTGTGTGGAAGTTGCTGCTGCTCTTGGTGCTGGAGGCTCCGCTTTTGCTGCCTCGAGTTGCTTTTTCAGATCAAGCAGCACGTTTACTTCGGGCTGCCAGACAGCCTTGTCTTTGGTGCTGGACTTTAGCTGACGCACCTTCTCGCCCTGCGCCTGAACCATTTTTTCCAGATCTTGAACGGATGATGATTGTGTGCTCTTTTGTGGGATTGCTGCTGCTACAGCTGCTGCTGGCGTAGCTGTTGTCGCTGTTTTTTGTGCCGCTTCCAATTGTTTCTTGAGCTCGAGCAGCTTGCTCACCTCCGGCTGCCAGACGGTCTTGTCTTTTGTGCTCGCCTTCAGCTGTCGCACCTGATCAGCCTGCGCCTGCACCGCTGCCTCCAAGTCGGCTACATTCGATTGCTGAGACGTCGCTGTCTGGGTATCCTGTACTCCACCGTATTTGGCCTTGAGTTCGTTGATAAATTGCTGCTCCAGTTTGCTAAACAGCGGCGATGGCTTGCCAATCTTGTGTCCCGCTGGCAGCAGCAATGTGGTCAATGGTTTGCTATTTAAAAATGGATTCTCAATGTTAGTCTAATTTAAGTGTTATTCCAGTTTGAGTTACTTACTCGGCTTTGAGTGGCGTTTGTTTGGCATTCAGCTGGGCGAACAATTGGCGCGCCGTGCTCGGCATATAAGGGAAGAGGAGATTGGCCAGCAGGCAGGCAATATTGATGCACAGGCCAATAATGGTGGCAGCGTGCGTCTTCTGGTCCGCGTTGCCTTTGAGCAGGACCCAAGGCTGTTGAGTTTGCATGTAGCCATTGCCATGTCGTGAAATGGCCAACAGATGCCGTATGCCATCGCGCAGCTTGGCCTTCTCCATGGAATTGATGTAGCCACGCAGTTCGCGATTGATAAGCGCCAGTAGCACCACCTCATCCTGGGCGAGCACAACGTGCGGCACTGTGCTGCTGAAATTCTTTTCGCAGAAGACTAAAGCACGATTCACAAAGTTGCCTAAATTGTTGAGCAGCTCGGAATTGTTGCGTGCAGCCAGATCGTTCCAGCTAAAGCTAGAGTCCTGGCCTTCAGGCCGTGCTGACGCCAAATAGAAGCGCCAAACATCAGCGGGAATGCCCGTCTCTTGGGCATCGTTGCCAAAGACGCCGATGCCGCGACTCTTGCTAAATTTGCCATCCTCATAGTTCAAATACTCCGTGGCCATAATATGGCTGACTAGCGTGTTGCCCTTGTTGACGGCTAAGAGTACACTGGGCCACACCACCGAATGAAAAGGTACATTGTCCTTTGCCATGAACTGGAACAGCTGCACATCTGTGTTGGCGTCAGGTCGCCACCACTGCTCGTAGTCTTTGGTGTAGCGTTTCGTCATGGACACATAACCAAATGGTGCATCGAACCACACATAGAAGACCTTCTTTTCGAAATTCTTGTGCGGCACAGGTATGCCCCATTTCAGATCGCGTGTAATGCAGCGCGGCTTGAGGCCCTCGCGCAACCAGGCGCGTGTTATGACCCGTGCATTGTGTGTCCAACCGTTCTCCACGCGGTCCACCCATTCGCGCAGCTGTGGCTCTGCCTTGGGCAGATCCAAGAATAATTGTTCCGACGAGCGCAAAACAGGGGCAGTGTTGCACACCTTACAGCGTGGTCGCACCAGTTCGGTGGCATTTACCAGCTTGCCGCACTTGTCGCACTGATCGCCACGTGCATCTTCATAGCCGCAGCCAGGATGCGGACAGGTGCCCTCCACAAAGCTACAGAAATATAATTGAGAATTATGATTACAATTTCTGGGTAGATTTTATATTTACCGATCAGCTAGAAAACGATCGCATTTCTGGCATAGCAGCTGCTCCACGCTTTCGGTGAGTATATAGCCAGCGTTGTACACATCCTTAAAAGCCTCTTGCACAATGCTGTAAGCAGTAAATACAAGTTCAAATTCAGATTATCCATTTACCCAAATGGAAACTCACTCGGTTTGTTCCTGGGTGGTGGTTCGTCCAAAGTAATCGAAACCAATGCCGAACCAGCGGTAAATGGAATTGTGCAGCTCGAAGTACTTATCGCAGATTTCGCGTGGCGTCATGTTCTCGGCAAGCGCCTTGTTCTCTGTCGCTGTGCCATATTCATCAGTGCCACAGATGAGCAGCGTATTGTAGCCAGCAGCGCGCGAGTAGCGCGCAAAGATGTCCGCCGAGAGGACGCAGCCTATAATGTTGCCTAGATGTGGCACATTATTGACATACGGCAATGCCGATGTGATCAGCACATTGCGCTCCCCAGCTTTCGGCAGTACGGTGCGCGGCTCGGCAAACTCCTGAGGTTTGTTGTAAATGAAAGCGGCGCGTGCCGCACTGATTTCCTCATCCGTAATGGTGTCAGCGACAGTGGAGGCGGTTTCAGCCAGCAATTTGCCGGCATCCGTTGAGATTGAACGCTTGAGCGGCACATGATGCAGTCCACCATAACGATTGGCCTGCTGCAGAGCATTGAAGCTGAGATCCTTTAGCGACTGCTCGCCCAGCACCTGCTGCACCTCCGACAGCGCCTTGATTTTGCCATACCAGCTGCGCAGGTTGTCCACATTTTGCGCACCTTTCAGTGTACCATCTGGCGCCAACAGGGACCACACTGCAATATCTGCTGCAGTCACTTTGTCGCCAGCCAAATACGACGAGTTCTTCAAGTGGTCGTCGAGTTTCTTTACAAGATTATTAAGCACGGGCAGAGCATTGGGATCGGCGCGATGTCCGACAGCCATGTGATGGGCCAACGCTGGCGCCAGCAGCGTTGTCGACCACTCCAACCACTGTGAGCGAGAGTTTCATTAATTGATTTAACCTTGAAGAATCGAGGGGCAAACAATTACCTCGTCTCTCTGCTGACTCTCATCGCCCAGAAAATATTTAGCAATGGCTGCACCTGAGAACAATCGCAAACCGTTGTCCAGCTCCATCGTGGGCAGCACTAGCAAATCCTTATACTTTGCATCTGAAATTTTGACATGTTTTGCAAAAGGTAACTTTTTTTTTATTTGCTGCACGTTGCCGGCCCGCAGAATTTTTCTTCTTTTTCCTTCTTACCATTTAGGTTAACCAATTGTACTTGGGCCGTGCGTTTGGCGAATTTCGCCAGCATGAGCAGCTGCAGGCCAAGTGGATTACCCTCATTTGTGTAGATAATCATGTTGCACTACTTTAAATCAATTTACGTGGCAAAACGCGTTAAAAGAAAAGCCTCAAGCCGCAGTCGCATGCGAATTGGTAACTATATGTATAATGGTGATGGGCTAATAAGCGAACTATCGCAAGAGAAAATATACGCACGCTTTTCAAACTTATCGATATCGAGAAGATACGAGCGGAATCAGCTGTGTTCGGCAGGTGGCGCCAGTGTGGAGCAGCAATTCGTATACGTTTCAATAGCAATTTAAAGAGTTGGTGTATTTTCATTAAAATGGGCGAACGCAAGGGTCAAAACAAATACTATCCGCCCGACTATGATCCAAAGAAGGGCGGTCTCAACAAATTTCGCGGCACCCATGCGCTGCGCGAGCGTGCTCGGAAGATTCATCTGGGCATCATCATCATCCGCTTTGAGATGCCCTACAATATCTGGTGTGATGGCTGTAAGAATCACATTGGCATGGGTGTCCGCTACAATGCCGAGAAGACTAAGGTGGGCATGTACTACACAACGCCCATTTACAAGTTTCGCATGAAGTGCCACTTGTGTGAAAATCACTTTGAGATTCAAACAGATCCTGGGAATCTGGACTATGTGATATTATCGGGCGCCCGACGTCAGGAAAATCGCTGGGATCCGCTGCAGAACGAGCAGGTAGTGCCCGAAACCAAAGAGGTTCAAAAGAGACTCTTCGACGATGCCATGTACAAGCTGGAGCATCAGGCCAAAGATGTTCAGACAGCGTCCGATGCCAAGCCGATCCTCCAAAAACTTGTAGATCGCAATCAGAGTGTTTGGAATGATAGCTATGTGGCAAACTATCGACTACGTGCCACATTTCGCCAGCAAAAGCAGGAGATCAAGGGTCAACAGGATCTGGATCGCCAGCTACTGGCCAAGAGTAGTCTGGACATAGCGTTGCTCCCGGAGACAGCTCAGGACAGAGAAATGGCGGCCCTGATGAAGCTGCAAACGAAAAGCGCCATCGAACGCGAATCGGAGCAGCGGCTAGAACTTCTCATGCGACCTGCGCTTCCGGGCGCCACATCCACCACCTTTGGTGGCCTGAAGCGACAAAAGGCTCTAAACACGCAGCTCCAGTTGCAGGAATTGGGCATAAAGCGTAAGCAGGCTAACGCTGCTGGAGGAGCTAAAATGAAATCAACTGAACGAGCAGATATAGAAACCGCTGCAGAAACAGGGATAGTAGCAGTTATGGAAGCAGAGACAGAATCAGCAATGTCATCGAAATCAGGACACACATCCGCAGCTGGATCCGCCGAGAAGTCAGCGGTAACAGCTCAAAAGTTATGCAGTCTGGTGGGTGACTATCAAAGCACCAGCTCCGAAGACAGCAGCCCCGATTCCAATGATTGAAGCCGACACAATCAATCACAATAAAAGTATTATATTTTAACCAGACAAATTTATTAATTTATAAATATTACATTAATCATGGAAAAATATTCATTCAGTAATCCAATTACGTAACTCATCATTCCATTGCAGGTCGCTAAGTTTTTAACGAATCGTTATATATCCATTTTCGACTGTGGCTTTCTATGCGAAATAAGCTAACTGCAGCCAGTACATATTTGGATCGCATAACTATATTGTATACCTGCCATAGGAACAGTCGGAAAAACATTAGTTCATGAACAACTTTTACAAGCTTGTGTTTTAATGTGAGTAACTCGCAACAGTCTCGATTATGACGCACTGTGTGATTTGCATTATATGATTTGTTTGTGGTATTGTACCAAAGATCTTATTATATAAGTTACAGTAATTCATGATTGTGATTTGAACCTGCCGCATTGCATATATTCGCAATTGTGACTCATTAAGTTTGCAATATTCGTTTCAATTCTGGTGATAAAAAAATCGCAAACCTGTGAAGATGATGAATAGTCTGTGCTGCATGAGTCTTAGCACCGCCGGTGTCCTTCTCGGCTGGCTGGGGTTTTTTTTAGCTCGCCTGGGATGACAATTATGGTGGCCGCTATTAACTGGTAAGAGAGATTAAAAGTGGATAGCGAAAGAGTAACAAAACCACTTATTTATTTCTAGAGGTTATCATTTTGTGCAGTGTCTTAGTTTGCTGGCATTGTTCCTGCTCATCATTGGCACCATGCAGGTCAGGCTGTGAAAGTCATCAGTTCATGTTTTACTCTTCTGTTTACAAATCGTGTATTCGAATCACTTTTGCTCCAATGCAGGAGCGCCATTTGATGTTGTTGCCATGTCTGATCAATTCTGCTATTGGAAATGCATTCAAAATTATTATTTCAGCGTTGTATTACAATTTTTTGATGTTGAATGATATGTTTGCTCTCTTAATTGTTGATGTTCTTATCACCTATCTTACAGTGGGTGAGTCACGGTCTCCCATTGGGGAAACTAATGAAAATAAGCCGATTCACATATATTTAAATACATTTTACATAGAAAACTAACCGCACATTGCTTCGGGCGATCTCTCTCAGCTTTGCAAATCTACATTTAATATTCCCTGTATAGGCAGATTAAACACTCCCGCGAAAAGTATCTCCCACAATATAGGCTTGGGGAAGTCCAAATGGAACCTATTTAACAATGATGTGCCGAAGCGGAAAGCTGTAAAATTCCTAATCCTAGAAGCGGATAATATGTATATCCTGTTATACTTTCTCTATGTACTCTATAAATTTACAAAACGACAGATCAGTGATTTTTTTTTGTATACATAAACATCTATTTCGATTTATCGTTTATATGGCAGCAATATAATATAATGATCCGATACGGCCAGCTCTGGGGTATAATAATTAATAATTTTAAATAAATTAAATAGAATGGGTGGAAATATTAAAAAACAGTAACTAAAAAACCTTTAATACATTCCTTCATTCACATCATCGATGGCGCTATCAGTGCTATTATCCTCGGGTGCCACGTTGTCGTTGACATTTTCATTTTGGTCGGTTTTATAGAGCACCTCGAGCATGCGATTGCAAAAATCGACATGCTCATTTTTATTGATCATATCTGTGAGTAGCATCTCAATCTTGTGCAGCTTCTCATAGGCTAGATCGCGCTTCTCGATCGTATCGGTAATCTTGGTATTGAGCTCCTCAATCGTCGCTTGAAGTTCATGTGTCGGCTCATCCTTGGCAATGGCTGCGCGTGGCCTCACAATTGGCTTCGGCTGCACTGCATTGGCTGCCGATCTGATATTCTCCAGGCCGGGCGCTTGCGAGTCGAAGAACTTCTTGAACCACTGCAGGAACTCAAAGTTATCCTGAAAACGACCCTTTATCAAACGATCCAGCGGCACAGTTTTATCCATCTTGAGACGCCCAAAGGCGCCCTGGAATAGCTTCATGTTGTGGAAAAACTCGTGCTCCAGTTTGGCCGACATTTTGACGCGCTTCAAATTGATGCAGTTCGGCGAGATCATCTCCATCATTTGGCAATAGGCGACACCTGGCAATAACACAGCAGTTGTCATACAAGCATTTATATTTTCATTGAATTCAGCTGACGACTGGGCACTCTTATCTTAGACTCTGCTTACCCGATGACATCTCTTCGATTTTCTTGAAATTGCCATTGACCATGGTGTTGACCCACTCTATCATTTGGTGGCGCGACAAATTCTCCGCATTGACGCTGGTCAGCGACACAGTTGGCTTCATATCACTCGTCTTGGACATGTTTTACAATAGGTGCAAATGTGAATGTGTATAACCTAAACCTATTTACAGTTGCACTTTTATTTTCTTTAACTGCGTTTAAATTTTCAGAAATGTGCGTGACTAGCAGCACATAACTCTTAAAAGTTGAAAACAGAAAATGATAATTTTTAAATGAAAATAATTCTTTGTGGCTTATTCTTCGGCGATTCGACCTTATGACTGACTGCTCGCTTATAATTTCTTATTGTTCAATTCATGCTTTCGCTTTCTCATTCTCTTCAGTTTTGACGCACTGGCAACACTGGCAGCTAATTGGCAGGATCAAATGACAATGGCTCATCAGGCTTGCATTGATAATATTTGTCGATATTTATGTTTTGAAAAACAAAATATATATATATTATTCAAATTTTATTTGCAACTAGTTTACAAAGATTTAATCTTATATTTGTGCTCAACTTTTTTAACAAACTCAATGAAATCCATGTAGAGAACCTTGGGCACCTCCATGGCGGCAAAATGACCACCACGTCTGTAGTAGGTGCTGTGTATTAGATTTTTGTACTTGTCCTGCAGCTGCAGATCCAGGAACTGCATAACATCACCCTTGAAGCGAGCACAGCCAGTGGGCACCAAGGTGGGCACGCGATCCAATTTGAGATCAAGTTGCTCCTTACTGTATGCCTCCGCATAGAGGCGTTGTGAAGTTGTTATAGAGTTTGTTAAATAGTAGATCATCACATTGTCCAGGAGTGCGTCCAGCTTGTAGCGCTTCTTGAGTCCGCCATCGGGCAGCGAGCGATATGTGGCATTCGTCCACGTGGAGAACTTCTCAAGTATGTAGGCAGCCAGACCGACGGGATTGTCGGTTAATGTGGCACCAATCGTGTCCGGTTTCGTGGCCTGCAAGTGGAAGTAGCCGCTCTCCTCCATCAAGTAGCTGAATTCGCGCGATTTAGGGAAGAAGAAATCCTCAAAGCCGCTGGGCACAAACAGACCAGGCCATAGCCCGGCAAGTACACCCTTCACCTGTGATCTGGGGCTCAGATTGTTGCACATATTTGAGTGATACCCAAGCACATTGTCCGGATAGAGAGTGGCTATATGCGAACCAATTATAGAGCCCCAGTCGCCTCCCTGTATAAAGAATTTATTATAGCCCAGACGCAGCATCAGATTACGTAGCATTACAGCCATTTCAGCGGGACCCAATCCCTTGCGAGAAGTGCCCTGGAAAGTAAAGTATATATATAAGTGACTAAAAGTAACCTCTCATAACAATTCTCCAGGTACCTGCGACCAGGCATATCCCGGCAAACTGGGCACAATCACATTGAAAATGTATTTGTTATTCTTATCCAAATGGGATTGGTGCAGCATGTGGATCAGGTCATAGAACTCACGCACTGATCCCGGCCAGCCGTGCAGCAACAGAACCGGATAATGCGCCTTGCCCACCTTGTTGTCATCGTAAACCATTAGGTTGAAAAAGTGCATGCGTAGACTAATAAAATAAAATAGCCACTATCAATAGTGATAAGCGCTTATCACTCATTCCCGCACTCACCCTTGGATTTCAGTGGTGTAGTGATTGAATTGCCAAAGGAATACCTCACGAGAGCGCCAACGCGGCATGTAATCGTCTCGCCAATAGTCAACCACTTCCTGCAAATAATCGCTATTGAAGCCATACTCAAAGGCCACGCCCTCCAGTGGTGGGGTGAGTCGCAACGTGCGATTCAATCTTTTAGTCAGATCCTCAATTGTCTAGCGAGAAAAAAGATTAATATACATGTATGTTTAGTTAAATCAAAGCAAAAAAATATTCAACTTACTGACTCCGGGTACAAAAGTCGATTGCCCACAACTTCCGAGCTGTTGACCAGATAGGCGGCATAGTCTTTGGGCTTGGCCTCATCGCCCCACCATTCCTGTGGGTCCAGCGTCGGTGCCGGTAAATCGCCCCACAGCTGATTTACACGTTTGTAGAGCATGCCGCCACCAATGGCCAGCAGCAGAACCACCAAACGTGTTATGGGCGACATTATTTTTTCAAATTAGAACAACTGCAGTGAAAGGTTTGCTTCATACTAATTGCGGCTAGTTCGGTCCGTCGTCTAATCAGTGAGGCATTTAACTGAGATTGCAGTTGCGTTGTTGTAGTCTGTCAGAACTGATCGTAAACCTTTGCACACACGATGATAAGTGCTTTTATTTGATCAACAACGCTTCGCTAGCGTATAAAAGTGACTCGTTTGCTTAAACTTTAAACCATAGGCTATTAAGCTTTAGCTGTGATATTATTACGGTATGACAGCTTTCACAAGTCGCATATGCCCACATTTTTGGTGAAGCTTTTTGCTGTCTCGAAGCTTTTTTTCATGTTAACTAAGATTTAAAAAATGGAAATATGCTAAAGAAACATGAAATTAGTTTGATTGAAGATTAAAAACGAATATATTTTAAACCAAACCTTAAGTTACAGCCAGATAGCTCCTTATTGAAGCTTAGCACTCAATTCTTAACATTACTAAATGTATTCAAAAGTTGTCTAAGCTCAATCTTATGGCGTAATACAAATTATTACGAAACTTTTGTCAAAGCTTTGAGTGTGTGTTTTCTGTTGTATATCTGAACATATCTGAGTTGACACAAACCGATTTTTAACGATTGCATACATTAAATTTGTTAGCAAACTCTGTTCGTATAGAATGTAAGCACTTTTCAGCATTTTGATATTGATAAACAAACAATCTAATCAATTTTATAGCTTATATATACAATGTAAACAATTGTTTTTATTCATTCCACGAACCTCTGCTTAACATACAACCAACATACAAATTACATGGAAATCAATCCGGCAAAAATTTATCCCAATGCCTTCTTCACATAGGCCACATAGTCCTCATAGAGTTGCTGTGGCACCTGGAACGCTGGGAAGTGTCCACCCTCCGGATAATGAGTGCTGTGCACCAGATTCGGGAACTTATTGGCCAGTACCGAATCCGGCACGTGGAATATCTCATTGGCGAAGCGTGTGCAACCGGCCGGTGCCTTAACAGGCACACTGTCCACTCCCAAGGCCATCTGGGTGCTGCCCATAGACTCGGCATATAAGCGCTGCGAGGTAGTAATCGAGTTGGTCACATAGTAGATCATTACATTATCCAGCAGCTGATCATAGTTGAAGTGTTTCGTCAAACCGCCATCCTCCAAGTTGATGTAAGTTGGATTCGTCCACGTAGAGAACTTCTCCAGTATGTACGCTGCAAGGCCAACTGGATTGTGTGCCAGAGCAGTGCCAATAGTGTCCGGTTTGGTGGCCTGGATATGGGCATAGCCCATTTCCTCCATTAGAATGAGGAACATTTTGCTGACGCCCTTGTAATACTCCTTATACTGGCTGTCAATGTAGAAGCTGGGTAGGAAGGAGGAGAACAGCAAGCGCAGACTACCCATGGGACTGTTGTTGGAACACATATTTGAGTGATAGCCAATCACGTTTTCCGGAAACAGAGAGGCCAGATTGCTGCCAATAATACTGCCCCAATCGCCACCTTGAATAAGGAACTTGTCGAAGCCCAGACGCAGCATCAGATTACGCATAACCACAGACACCTGTGCGACGCCCAGACCAGGCCGAGCAGCACCCTGTGAAATGCAAAGACAACAGTCTGAAAAGTTCGTATCATGGTGAACAATCATTTCGAGCTCACCTGAGACCAGCCGTAGCCGGGCAAACTGGGCGCTATCACCTCAAAAACATAATCGCTCTTATCACTGCCAGTCGTCAGCAGTGGAATGAAATCATAGAATTCGCGAACAGTGCCGGGCCACCCATGCATCAGGAGCAGAGGAACAACCTTTTTACCCCCAGCTTTCTTGGGCTTCGCATGTATAAAGTGGATTTTTAAGCTATAAATAAATTTGGAGATAATACATATTCAATAGGGGAAAGTTCAGATGCCACGGATTGCATAAGATTGTTGGAATCAAAATGAATTAAGTTCCGTATATTGATCCACAGGCGAATCATATATATATATATATATATATATATATATAATATGAATACCTTAATTATGCGAATATGTCTAACGTACCCTTGAATTTCTGTTTGGAAATGCTTCAACTTTTTGAGGAACTGCTCACGTTCATTCCATTTGGGCAGATAGCTATCGCGCCAATATTTCACCACCCTTTGTAATTCCTTGGCATTGAAACCGTACTCGAAGCCAATGCCTTCCAACGGCTCCTGCACCTTGAGCGGACGTTCCAGCTGTGCGGTTAGATCGGCAATCACCTAATGGCATAACAAATCCAAAAATTATGCAAATAAAATGGCAAACGAGTTTGCAAGACAGGTAAAAAGAAAAAAAAAACATAAAAAAGAAAGAAGCTCATTTGAACTTTGAACTACCTCGGGCGCAACACTTATGTCATATGGAGAAATTTCCTTCTTCTCTTGATATGATCCCTCCAACTTTGGTCCCCAATATGCATTGTTATCCAAATCCGGCCGTTTGCCAGGCGCACCTAAATCACGATAGTTCTTATAACCCACCGCCACCAAAAGGGCCAAGCCACCAATCAATATGCGCACAAAGGTCGACGCTACAGATGGCATTATTATTATTTTTTTTAATAATGCTGCGTTATAATGGCTATTAAGATTTCTGCGAACAGAGTTCAAAACGCTCTAAAATCAACACAACCACTCAGCTTCAACTCACTCAACAAACTGTTGAGCATTGTACACTATTAATGACCCGGTTCCTCGCTTAGAGACAAATTCCGTTAAAAAAAAAACTCGGCAAAAGCAAATTCGACGATAAAGGGAAGGAAAATCAGCACGCCAAAAGCATATTGCGATACAGAGATTGTACAGCGCCGTACATAACTTTACGGCAGCTGCAAAGTTTTTATTGAACTGAAGCTAAGCTGGTTAGTTTTCATTTATACCATTTTTTTAATTTCACAATTCCAATGAGGTAATGTTTAACCGTTTATTTCGTCGCCTCCACCTAAAAGCTTAATTTAAATAGGCAAAAACAAAAAAAGCGTCCAAATAATTATTATTCTATAGTTGTGAAGTGCGCTGTGGTCTCTCTCTTTATTCTGAACACCTACATATAAACAAAAGCAAACTAGAGAAGAGCTATAGAGCAGAAAGCATGCGATCATAGAAATATCGTGCTTATCGTGTCAACGTTTGCACGAAAATGTTAAATGTATGTAGCTTTGAATTTATTTATACGAAGAAACCGTTTGTCTACTAAATCTAATATTTGTGATCACTTTCGTTTTATGTTAATGCTCTTTGTAATAGCAAGGGGAGCCCCAATTTGTTTGGACTTTAGTTTAGACCGTGATATGCAAACATACAAACACATATACATACATACATATGTGAGTATCATCAATTGAATCGCTCATATTTAGCAATGAAATGATGTGCTTTGCGAGCATGACACAGCAACGAGACTGTTGATTATTATGAGCTGGTGGAAATGAAAAACAAATGCTTTTTTTAATATCATCATGAATTTAATAACATTGAAATTTTTTACCGCTCTCCACTGATTAGCAAATAAAGTGCTGTCAACGCGATGACAGATAACTTCGGAGAGCTGCGTTTAGTGTTGGAAGACGGCTTAAAATAAATTTGTTAGTATGGGCGCGCTATTTAAATTCAAGTAATTGGTAAGCAGAATCGGTTTAGGACTGATTATTATTATTATTATTAGGATCACTCAATGAATTACATTGGGTCCACTATAATAATATATATTGAAATAAAAATAATACATAAAAAGAAAGATCAACGATGAGAGTGAGAAACTGTATTAACAAGACGGCTCATCAGATTTAACTGAATTATAATAATCTGTAAATCTTTAATTTATTATTTTAATTACCAATAATGTACACAATTGAAAACTCTATGAGAGCCACAACAGTTTTAACATTTTTCAAAAGCACTTTCCCTGTTTATTCTATTCTTCATAAACATTGCTGACAAATGCGGTGAAATCATTGTACAACATAGATGGCATCTCCATGGCAGCAAAGTGACCACCATGCTGGAAGTACATGTTGCGCTTAATATTGGTATACTTGTCGCTCAATTGCCATAGCGAAGCAGCAGGCAGATCAAATCTAAATCGGACACAGCCCATGGGCACGGGCGTCTGCACGCGATCCAGCTGGAGATCGCGATATGGTTTGGACACATTCTCGGCATAGAAGCGGGCTGCGGTGGTGGCTGCGTTGTTTAGATAATATATCATCAGATTATCGAGCACAGCCTCCAGGCCAAAGGCCGTGGCAATGCCGCCAAAGTCCTGCTTCAGACTGGGTCCACTGCAGGTCTGGAACTTTTCCAGAATGTAGGCGGCCAGTCCAACAGGATTAGTGTCAAGGGCGGCACCAATCGTATCTGGCTTGGTGGCCTGTATATGAAAATAGCCACTCTCCTTTAGCAAATCGAGGTACTTGTCCCACATTGGGACATGGTGATCGTAGAACATGCGGGACACCAAAACTTTCTGGGGAAAATAGTTCGTATAGATACCCTTGAGGAAGGAGAGGGGCGTACTCAACACACACATGTTGGAGTGATAGCCGAGCACATTCTCCGGATACAGTGTGGCTAAATTGCTGCCAATAATGCTGCCCCAATCGCCGCCCTGTACGAAGAACTGCTTGTGACCCAGTCGCAGCATAAGATTACGCATCACGGTGGCCATTTCGGCGGCATTGAAGCCCACCCGAGTGGCAGCCTGAAAAAATAAGATAAAAAGATAAGAATAAAACACACAAAACATGACATTGCCATAAATCAATATACATAAATGTGAGAATTTACTTACATCCGACCAACCGAAGCCGACGAGCGAGGGTGCAATAACATCAAAGGCATAGTCGCTTATGTTTTGGTTCTTGGTCAGCATGGGTATAAAATCATAAAACTCACGCACTGAACCCGGCCAGCCATGGAGCAGCAAGAGTGGATACACATGCTTCTTGGTCGCAACTTCCTCCGAAACGCGCTCGTGTATGAAGTGAATTTTCAAGCTGTCGAAGGGATAAATAAGTAAATCAGTTGAAAAGTCTGAAGCTTTAATTGCTCACCCCTGAATCTCGGTGGTGTATTGCTTCAGTGAGTTGAGAAACGCCTGACGCTCATCCCATTTGGTTAGATACTTTTCGCGCCAGTATTCCACATACTGTTCCAGTGCGTTTGTATTGAAGCCATATTCAAAGGCAATGCCATCTAAGGGTTCAGTTAATTTCAATGTGCGGTTTAGCTGCTGTCGCAAATCTTCAATCTCTGCCTGGGGTACATTCAGTTTAAACTCATTGATTTTCGTATCGGGCACGTAGTTCTTGCCATCGCCAGGTCCCCAGTAGGTATTGTCATTGTAATCGGGTTTGGGCAGTGGACGTGTCAGGTCTGTGAAAACGAGATAAGCGTATCCAACGATGGCGGCAAATATGCCTACAATCAGTCCGAATATTACCAGGCACCTCATTTTGCCAATGTGCAGCTAAGCAAATGCGTTCTTTTGACTCTTGATTGTTTATCTGCCTAATGACAAAAATGTTAATGAGCTCTCTAAATATTCATTGAGTATTCACAACTGCTCTTCGTGCTTGCCATTAAACAACTGACGACTGTCAAGAAGAACGCCAAAGAGCTTTCGTAAAGCTACACTATATATAGTACATATAGTTATATGTACAAATAAATTGTACACATGATAGCGTACTTTACAGTGGGACCTAAATAACATTTGAGATGTGAGGTGAACATAATGATATACCCTTATGTGAAATACGTTCTGGTCAAAGTCTGCTCCATTATGCGAGAAAATTAACATATATATTCGTAGAAGCAAGGATTTTCGACACCATAATCTAATCTATATAATCTTAATCATGGTAAACAGCCGAGTTGATAAAGCCATCCCTCCTTATGAACACGAGGATCTTAACGAGAATACAAGTAAGAGACTTTAAATTTGAAACTGTCCTTGTTTCGCGATACAAATTGAATTTCTAGCTTGGAGCAGGGTATATTGCAGTCGAGCTCACTTAACTACTGCGTTCTTACTTGCTCGAATGCTGACATTTCAGAATTAAACAAATTATTATTCATAGTTATGTATGTATGTGTCAGACACTGAAGTAAAACGTAATAAGGGTTACCTTATTAGGTTATTTTAAAAATAATTTGGTTATATATTTTGAACTTGAATTTAACTTCTTAATTCCATTCATAAAGAAGCGAAGTTTTCAAACATTACAACATCGATTTTAATACTCAAATTTTATTTATTTTTTGATACCACATTTAACCACAGTACTATAATATTAGATTGCCGCTGACTCGTATGCCAGCTAGGAATATTTATGCGATATGCCGGGAGCAGTACCTGCTACAGCTTAAGTGGACGGTATCTTATCTTTCATATATATATTCTTATTTATTACGTACTTCCCACTTGTTTGCTGCTGATGTGGCCCCAAACATTAATGTTTGATGATGATGTGGCCCCAATCATTTTTGAGTCAACAATCAATTATAACGTGAATGTTTGCGCCTGTAGCAAACAAAAATTAGATAAGATGGTAAAGATGTGGTACATGAGGCATGAGTTCGAGGGGCAGATGCATATGTACTTGCAACTTATTCGATTTAAATTATTTGCAGCATTGAAAAATTAAAAATAATACTTGGCAGTAGTAGGGAAATGGGGATTCTATGACAGGAAGTGGCTTATTGCTTTTGATTTTTAATTGCTTCATTATTGGAGCTAATTTATTGATTTTAGGTGGGGGAGTGACAGGTGTGTGACCTTTTTTTAGGAAAATGTGTGATTTTGGATCACGTATGAGACATTTATGATCGAAGGGTATAGATTTATGGCTGACCCTTTTTTTATTGTGGGTTGGCATGAGGTGGAGGATCACTCAGCAGCACTTGTGTGTGCGTACGTTATTGTGGTTTTAAGGAGGAAATTGTGTGCTAGGCGTGTAACCTGTGTCTGTTAGAATCAAGTGGAAGATCAGCTAGCAGCTATTGTGCAATGTAATGATTTGATTTTTGAGGGTGGGTGCAATGGTCAGTGGAAAGGTAATGCTCGCTTCTCTTTTGCCACTTCTTTGTCAATGTATAGAACTCATACGACACCTCACACCTGAATGTTTTCCCACACAATAATTAAAGTATTATTGGTGTAAACTGTAGTTAAGTAGGTACTTCGCACGTACGTTTGCTTTTTGAGTGACCCTCCTCATGTTAATTTCACAATAACTTGAAATAATAGCCTGGGTTGCTTTGTGCACCTTTGAAATAATAGCCTGCGTTGCTTTGTGCACCTGCGGACTTCATACCTAGGTTTATAGAGTTTAAAATGTTTAAATAAAAAAACTTTTTTTTTAAATTTTCATAATATAATTTATTTATTTATAAATAAAATGTTTTCATATGTGAAAATTTGTTTATTCTTATTGATAAGTTTAATTTTAAGATACATGTACCTTATGAAAGTATATTATTATTATTATTATCCATTTTGCTTAACCTCTTTCTTAGGTTAGTGTATTGAAATATAAGACGATCCAGTTTTATTTTATATGATACAAAGTAGTGACAAGCACATGTATCAACTCCATCTCTGGCGTTATCCGAAGACCATGGGTCAAGTGCTTTCCATATTTAGATTTAATTAGACGATAGTTTTCATATTCCAAGAAAAATACTCGGTATTCCTCCAATAATTTAGAATGTTCAGGGAAAATTACAACTCCTTAATGACAATTAACACGCTCCGCCGCAAGTTTAGAGATGGCCTTATCTCTCGTGAGAGAATGGAGGTGGTCATTGCAAGTCAGCCTGCTCAAATCCAGGAGATTATTTTGCCACAGTGCGGATTGATGCCAATGGGACTGATCGACAACGGCCGCATCAAGATGAATTGGTTATCGATCCACTCATGCGATCCTTTCTGCGCTTCTACAGGATGGGTAAAGTTACGCGGGAACAGCTTGATGAGGTTGTTTTGCTTCAGCCAATCCGAATTCAGCAACTGGTAGCAACTCAGATAGACTCTGAGCCATTGCTGCTGAAAAGAAAGAGTGATTCCCCCCTGATGGAAGATAATAGCTTGCCAGTGCGTCCAAGAGTCCATATAGAGGAAGTTTTGATTTTGCCCCCGCTTCAATTGCCTTTATTTCCTGGCAGTGTAGCCATGCAGCGTCAGCAGGAGAATCCCCCCAAAGATGATGGTCTGGAGTTGGAGATGAGGCTTGAGACTTTGCAGCAGGAGCTTGAGAAGAGAATGGATGATGAGCTCCTTCTTGAGCAGCGGAAGTTTGAGCAAGTAATTGAGCCAACTGAGCAGTCACAGTGTGGATCTTTGGAGTCCATAGATAATCATCGTCAGCATCATCTGCAGATGCAGCAAGCTCAAGTCACCTCCGAAAAACGTAGGTGTACATCTCCACATATGCCATCTAAACGTGTGTGCATGCACCCATACATGAAGGGTCCTGCGATACGTCCTCCCAGTGCTGTTTCGTTACTTGCTCCTGGCATTCGTAGAAGTAACCCGGAAAAACGGAAGTTAAGGAAGGTTCTGCCCCCTACAAAACGAATTTGTCTTCGTGAGCATGACCAGCCAGATCGGATGCATCCACAAGTGCCGGTGTCTTCGGATCGGATTTTGCTGCCCTGGCAACGGCAGCAGAATTTTGAGGAGAAGGCGCTGCAGCAATGGCTGCAATTGAACCCGCTGTTTGTCCATGGAGATGGGTATCAATCTTGCTGGTTTGATGTTTGCTTTCCGGCTCAACTTTGGCGGCCTGAGCACAACTGGAGGCAGCAGGCTCATCGGAAGACGCGATCTCCTGACAGATGGCTAAGTCTATAAATACTTTATGCGTGATCTTTTGTTTTTTTGTCATTTCAGTCTGACTTCTTAAATGGTGCTTGGTGGAGATGCCATTTTTTGTAGAAGCAGATTTCTTTTTTCCTTCAATGTGACTACTTACCTGGATGGTCCTCCTTGGACTCTTGTTTTAGACGTCGCTCCACCCGCAGATGCAGTTCTTTTTTCATCTGGCACCTCTTGGATTAGTAGGTCCTCCATGGACTCCTTTTTCGCGGTGCCACTTGAGCTGCAGGAGCAGGAAAGTCTTCTGAAGAAACTGATCTGGATGGTCCTCCATGGTCTTTTTAATCGTCATGTGTTTTCAAGCCGCTCACACAATGGGGAACTTGGATGAAGTTGGTCCTCCGTGGTCTAAACCGCGAGTTCCACCCCATTGTGCTGATGCAGATGCAGTTACTGCAGCCAATTCAGCTGGACATTTTATTTATTTGCCCAGAGTTGCCCCTTCAAATTTTGTCATTTTGCATGTGATGTATATTTTAAAGGTTGCTGTGTCTGAGCAATGGAAAAAAAATTTGGGCTGGCTGGCGACTGTTTATTTCAGTCGTCAGTTGCCTCCAATGTTCCAACGTGAACACAACTAAAAACTAAAATAACATTTTGAATAATACTGAGCTTTATTTCAGTCGGCTACGCGATGGATAATAGCAGCAATGGAGAAATAGCTTCGATGAGCACTGAAAATGTGGTAAGCAACGCCATATTGAATCAGTGCGAAGAGTTTACACCGCAAGACACTCATTACCTCTTTTTTTCGGTTCTAGTTGGAGGTGCTTAAGAAGCGTGGCGTTGAGCTAATGAATAAGGCCAACGTAACGCGTCTTCTGGAGGTGGAAAAAAAAAAGCATTTGAATACAAGCAATACGTTGTTTCTTAAAAATCACAAGATGAAACAGAAGTTGGCGAAAGTCAACCGACAATATAAGGTACTTGTGAATCAGCATTTAATAAAATGTCGAAATCAGCACAAAATATAAATATTTTCAGAAAAAACTGGCCGCTCTGCGGATCGAGATGAAGAAGATGCGTGCAGCCAATGTAGCATATCGAGACGCATTAGACAAAATTAAAACAATCAACATCAGACTAATGAGTATATTATAGCACTTCAACAACCTTAAAAAACTATTTCTTTGAATAAACCTGAAAGTCGAATGTTTGAGAATTTTGGTTGGTTTAATGGAAACGAAAAACTAGTGGTAAATGATGGATATTTTAATTTCTCTATTCCTATTAAATACCTACTTGGATTTTGTGAAGACTATAACAAAATCTTACTAAATTGTAAACATGAACTAATACTACTCATAACTAAAAATAGAGAACGCCCCCGTTTCGCTATAATAGCTTTTATACTGGATAATAATTTGATTCAAAATCAATTGCGAAACTTGAAAGTGTTCTTGAACCCTGAAACATATCGCTATGATGATATGAATATAAATTTTAATCGTGAACGATTTGCAACTTTGTATGATATGTATACAAATTTTCAAGCAAGTTACTATATGAAGCAGTCTGAACCGTTGTTAACACCTAAGGAATTTAAGGAAAAAGCACCGATTGTTGTTAAAGATCTAACACATCAGAAGGAGTCTATTAAAACAGGACCGATCGATATCAGAGTTTCCATCGAGTTGGAGAGTGCAAGTGTGAGAAACACTAAAGTATTGAGAATCAAGTAGTTGTCGACATTCAAGGATTTTTTGGAAATTGCGACTATTTTATATTAAAAGAAATTGCTCTTGTTTTTAAGAATGGTTATTATCATGATTGAGAGCATAAGGTGTCATTTTAAGATTAGAATCAATATTAATTTTAAATCAATACGGAAATAAAATTGAATTTGATAGTGAATCATGGAGAGCCTTCATAAGATTAGGGATATTTTTCACGTCATTTTTATGTTGGAACACACTGCTTAAAAATCAAATTTGTAATATATATAATAATTATATTATTCCAAAATGTTCAAAGATGGGGAAATATGATGTACAACTTTTAGATTTAAATGTGTCTTATGGACATGAAGCAGAAATTGATTTAACACGCTTATGCTTTGAAATTTCAAGAAAAATGGGAAAAGAAATAAAAAAAAGATGTAAACCAGTATAGACAAGTATTACAAAAGAAAGTTACACAAGAATAGACACTTTATAAATAAAGTAAAATAATTCTTCTAAATCAAATGTAAGGAAAATTCATGATTTCCTCAAGGAGTTTGAGGATGTCATTTTCCCTGAACATTCTAAATTGTTGGAGGAATACCGAGTACTTTTCTTGGAACATAAAAACTATCGTCTAATTAAATCAAAATATGGAAAGCACTTGACAGTGCGCCCATGGTCTTCGGAAAACGCCAGAGATGGAGTTGATACATGTGCTTGTCACTACTTTGTATCATATAAAAGAAAACTGGATCGTCTTATATTTCAATACATTAATCTAAGAAAGAGGTTAAGCAAAATGGATAATAATAATAATAATATACTTTCATAAAGTACATGTATCTTAAAATTAAACTTATCAATAAGAATAAAAAAATGTTCACATATGAAAACATTTTAAAAAGTCTATAAACCTAGGTATGAAGCCCGTAGGTGCACAAAGCAACGCAGGCTATTATTTCAAAGGAGGAGGGTCACTCAAAAAGAGTGCACTATAAAAAGGGAGAGAACCAAATACACGAAGAAGATAGCAGCACGTGGCAAACGTACGCGCGAAGTACTACTTAACTACAGTTTACACCAATAATACTTTAATTATTGTGTGGGAAAACATTCAGGTGTGAGGTGTCGTATGAGTTCTATACATTGACAAAGAAGTGGCAAAAGAGAAGCGAGCATTACCTTTCCACTGACCATTGCACCCACCCTCAAAAATCAAATCATGTACATGCACAATAGTGCGCCAGCTGCTAGCTGATCTTCCACTTGATTCTAACAGACACAGGTTACACGCCTAGCACACAATTTCCTCCTTAAAACCACAATAACGTACGCACACACAAGTGCTGCTGAGTGATCCTCCACCTCATGCCAACCCACAATAAAAAAAGGGTCAGCCATAAATCTATACCCTTCGATCATAAATGGTCACACACCTGTCACTCCCCCACCTAAAATCAATAAATTAGCTCCAATAATGAAGCAATTAAAAATCAAAAGCAATAAGCCACTTCTTGTCATAGAATCCCCATTTCCCTACTACTCTTGGCGCATGTCAATGAACTTTCACTGTTTCTGTTTGTAAGAGTGGGTGTTAGGGGTTAGCGGTTGGTCTTGGGCTTGGGCCCTTGGGGGTTGTTGCACCTTGCTGTTGGGGATAATTTTGTATAAGTTGTAAGGCAAACAATTATGTCGTCGACATGCACAGGCTGCGCTCTAGGCAACAAAAGTGCCACAAAGCATGCAAGCGACCCCTCTCCAGAAAATAAAAATGGGTGTGGCTGCTAACAGAAACAATTGAAACAATGGGAATTGGAATGCAAGTAAAATTAACGCAATTAGGCCGCGACTCGATTTTGCCAAAACTGCCACAATGATGCACTGCAGCACTACATGCGGCAAAGTTGGCGCCAGTGCTGCCGCCCCTTTGCGTGCTGCGCCCCAAATCGAATTGCCTGGCTGCAGCGTGTCAAAAACTGGCACCAGCCCAACAAGATATCCAGATACCCCTTAAGCCGGGGCAATAACTGGAATCGTTAATTGCCGCATTGATGGGCGATTCATTTAGCGCAGAAGCTCAGAGTTGCCTTTTTGTGGCTAAGAGGGGCATGGAAATGTGGCGGCCTGAAGCAATTTGGTCGGAGCTATTCATTTTATTGAGTGGCTTGTGTGCCACTTTACATAGACCCTGTAGAAGATGGGCTGAGGAGTATATTGCATTTTCAGACTGTGCAGATTAGTTCAGCACAGAAAGTGGAAAATGGAAGATCATAGTTTTTAGTCATCTTTTAGTAAATGTACATTAATTGAAGTACTAACTAAACTATTAACCACTAAGACAAATCATTGATCTGACATCGTTATTATATAGATATTTTTGAAACTTGTGTTTTATTATTATTTTAGTTGATTTTTATATTTACAAGGCATCTCACAGTCGCCCAACTTTAGCCTACAGTGATTTTGTTAATATTGTTTTTTACGTTTTGTCTTTGCCTCTACAAAGTTGGGTGTTTTGAGTACACGTAGTTTCCGTTACCGCCTAGTGTAACGGCCACAATTATCATGAGCTGGCACGCACTTCTCCTCGAGGTGCATTGAACTTTGGGCAATTGATTTTTGACATGCATGTAGCGACATTTTTATGGTGTGTAGCATTGTAAGCCTGCCATACTAGTATTCAAACAAGCATAACACAATCGATTCTAAGAAAAAAGAAAGGGAAGACACGGCTTGGCCTGAGGAGCCTATTGGCTGCGCTGTATATATTTAAATATAGTTTACAAATAAACCGAATGCATACTTTTAGGCTAAAATTAAAACATCTTAAAAGTGTGCCTTAGCCTTAGCGTTATTGTGAGTTAAGGGAATAGATTAAGGTTCTCTATATAATTTTTTTTTGGCTTTTTCGTCATTATTTGGAGACGTAATCTCAGCTCCAATATGATAAAATGTGCTTTAGAGAAAGAAGAAACTTTCCAGAGTCAATACCTTGTGAAAAGTAATCCTATTTCCAAAAAACAGGGCCTTCCAATCTTGACTTTAAATCTATCAGCTGAAATTCAGAGTAATAACTATCTGCTGTGACATATTGATGGCAAATGTATAATTAGAGACCATGTTTGATAAAATTTATTTATTAATTATCCTGATCAGTCCACTCGCCGGCTGCATCATCCCAAACTGGAAAACGATTCTTAGAGGGTGGATTTGTCCCAGCGATGCCCAAATCTGCATCATCAACTTGCGCCACGCCCTGTTGCAGCTGCTAAGTATTTAGTCAATATTGTAAAGTATTTACGTATTATTGTATCTCGCCACTTACTCCGCACAACAGAGCCAATAAAATGACTATCGTATTTATGTAAATGAATTGCAGTCGCATTTTGCACTCTGTCCGTTAATTCAGTTGGCTCTCGACTGATTCTCTTTGTACAACTGTTTCATATTTGCTCACATTAATAACGAAAAAAATGTCCAACACGTATTTGTTTTTGCTTTATATATTATTCATGGTACAGCATTATCAGCTGCTGATAAGCCACACAGACGAAAATCGTAAATAAATTGAAATGAACACGAAATGATGAAAATGCTTTCACAAAACCCACAAAATGCTCATAAATCAATGAACGCTACATAAAAAAATAAACAATAAAACTTGTCATATGACACGTGTGCGTGTGGTTTGAAGGAATCTTTTGCCAGAGAGAAAATATGCAATAATTTTATTACAAATATGGCAGACGAATGATTTTCCTCATGGCCAATAAATGATTTCGATGAATTGAAAACATGAAAAATAAATAATAGATGAAGAAAATAATTCCACATATATTCCAAATGGAAAGACATTGAACTAAACATAAGTTTGGGGTATTGAACACAAATATTTTTTAATTGAAGCAAAACAAAGAAGGCAGAATTTTGACAAGTCAAATAGAAGAAATCACCCGGGGGAAAGCACTCTGCAGATAAGAGTAGAGCAGCTGCCTGATGGGGATTTTTTTTTGTATCATCTAGCTTATAAAAACTCGGTGGAGGCTCATTGAGTTATCAGTCAATCAGCTCAAGATTCACATACAACATGCAGGTAACAATCATCGCCTTAGTCTGCTGTTTAGTCGGCTCTGCACTGGCTCTGCCTTATCCCGATCCGGAGGAGAAGAAGGATGTCTGGAATGAGCGAAAGCAGTTTAATATGCCAGATGAGCAGCGTTTCTTAGTGGATGGTGGCTACAACAAGGATAAGAGTGGCAAGGATGTGTGGGTTCAAGCACAGGTGCCTGTTTGGACCAGTGAGAACAAGCGACACGAGTTCGATGTTGTCGGCAAATATGGACAGCATCTGGATGGACCTTATGGCAATAGCCCACCCTCATGGGGTGTGGGCGGCAACTACAGATTCCGATTTTAAATAACATCAGTTTAACAATTCAGCAATAGTACTTGAGTTGAATACCAAAATTATTTTGAAGTTAAAGGATTATTTATTGAAATAAAAATTTTGTTTACAAACTCAATATTTATTTGCCTTTTACTAAATCCAAGTATCTGAACAATTAGCTTAGCTTAAAATAAAAACATAAAAACAATTCTATGAAATATTGAAGATTCATAGTCAAAGTTTGAGTTGGGGTTGGCACTTTGGCATCCTTGAATAACTTCACGTTCATCTACCCCGGAACATACAGTCAGTTTTATTACTCATAGTCCGCCGAGATGAGCTTGCAGTTTGGCTGTACATGACTATATTTATGTTTTTTGGCTAATTCTTGTTGGTAATAACAAATTAAGCGCACACGTCGATAATGACGACAATATGTTTGTCTTAATGAAACCTGCCGCAATATTCGACAAGATAAAATCTTTTTTCTTAATTGGATTTATTGCGTAAACTGTCAAGAGAGCCTTCAATGAAAATTTATCATGCCAAGAGACTAACCCAAAGTTGCTTAACTAATTGAGGTACTAGGCAGCCAACGAAAGCGAATCATCTTCGATGGCGAAAATGTGGGCGTTGCCGTATCAAATTATTAAAAAATGAATCATTTTTCGGGTCTAGAATGGGAATTACAATTTGATTTGCACATCATTAATTTGCATAAATTTGTTGCAAATTTAGAGCTGGGTTCTACCGATAACTTGACCTTGGCAAATTATATATAATTCTAAAAAAATTACGACATCAGTTATATATTTCGAAAGCAATTTTTTTTTAACTGAGCAAGTAATGGTCCGCAATATTTAAATCAAAAATGCATAACACATTTCTATTTATATAGTTGATCTCAAGCATAGCCCAATTACATACGTGACCACATGAATTGTGAAATGGGATATACCGTTTTGAGTGTTGTTAAAGATTAAATTACTTTTGTAGCAGGTCACTTGTAATGTCGGCCACAGACTACTAGTGACGTGGTAAAAAGAATGTAACATAATATCTGTAGATAGCATTGATATCGATATCGATATCTAATATATATTAAGTAAAATGAGGAGCCGTGTTTAGAAGAGTTATATAATTTGGTTTTGACTGTTATTGGGAATACCAATGTATTTACTCACAACTCCAATGGGGGTCCCTCACTTCGATCCTTATCAACATAATAATAATAAGAAAATAAATTGTTTCATGAGATCACGCATCTTATCAAGAGCAATATGTGATACGGGGATCTACTTGTGAACCACAGACAATGTGCTAAGGGATTCCCTCAAGGGGGAACTTTTAGTCTGAGTGGCGTTATAAAAAATATATAAAGCAAACAGAACCAGCCATCACTCATCATTCAGTTGAACAGTAACTGCAGCACCAAACAGCTTAAAAAAGTCACAAGATGCAACTTAATCTCAGTGTGCTGCTCCTGCTCGGCCTGACCGCCTGCATCTGGGGATTTGACGACTTGGATGCCTATGAGCAAGACTCACAATTGGTAAGTGCTGTGCCCCACAAAAAAGTTGGTGCAGTTGCCACAAAAACTTATTTGTGCCTAACATCCTTGCAGCTGGCCGAGAATAGAGATTGGGCGCCCATTGATGTCGAGCAGCAGCATCGTGTGCGTCGCCAGCTGAATGTGCAGGGCGGGGGCAGTCCTCGCCAGGGCTTTGATTTGAGCGTCAATGGACGTGCGCCAGTGTGGCAGAGTCCAAATGGTCGCCATTCCGTAGATGCCACCGGACAATATTCACAGCACTTGGGCGGTCCATATGGCAATAGCCGACCCAATTGGGGTGCAGGTGCAATGTACACATTCCGTTTCTAGGGATACCAAATTCATCTTTAATCTTAATTGTTTAGTTATACACATATATTTCATTAAAAATATTTACTTCACAACATAATTTCAACTGTTTTCAAAAGAATACCTGGAACATACTGGATATTAAACTTATATTTATATATTTTCAGCACTTATGTTTTTAAACATCAGATATAACATATTCAGTTGCAGTTTATATCATTCATATGCATATCTGTCTCTAAGAGTGGTTTGCACTCAAAGATTGTGGGATCTGGCTCAGGTGACTGCAAGTAACTTAGAGAATTATTAAGCTGTAATTAATTTATAGACCGCACTTAAGCACTTGCCCGATGCAAATCCTTAATCGCTGTGGAATTCCCTTGGCTCAAAGCAATTAGCCACTGAACAAAGAACAACAATTTCAACAAGCCAAACATTTCTAATTTTTGTTGTGTCTTACTCGATTTTGAAAAGTGCACTAAATAAGTTCATAAAGCTATATAGCTATATACCTATTCCACCGTTATCAGTCAGCTGTGCTGATAAGCGAAAATCGCTCTAGAAGCTGCGATCAGCAATTGCTGTGTGCGTCAGTTGAGAGGCATCTATGTGCCAAACGCAGCCTTCTCTCCGCTACTTTTTGTCACGTTGAACTATTTTAAATTTGTTAAACGTGCCAGCAGCACGAAAATTGAGAGAAAAAAAGAACCTGGCACGTTTTGTGTTGAAATCGAATAAGAATGAAAACATGAAACTAACCAGAAAGCCTGAAACGAGAGTGTTTCACAGATTCCCTTTAAAGTGATAGAAATTGGGTACTTGATTGGAAGATGCATTGTTTGCAGGTCTGAGTGGACTAAAATACTCATACGTGCTCATGAAAGGAAAACTCTAGAAATTAATGCTGGATTAACGAATCCTCTGAAGTCTTATCTAAAAGTCGAAATCTAATTCTCGGTTTACTTAAATGGTATTCACAAGCATTCTCTTCAAGAATGTGGTTATTAATCGATCTTTATCGATGGCTGGGTATGTGATCGACAGAAGCAATCTTCGGAGTACATTTTATATACAAGCACATCAAACCCTATAGCTATGTTCACAAAACAATTAGACTTCACAAACAAATTTAAATTTTGGTTGCAAACAGTAATGAAGGTCAATCCATAGGGTAACAAAACATTATTGTTTGCTTTTATTTATTTTTTTTCGTTTTTCATTCTTATTTGTCTTTGTGTTGTTTCTATTATCGGTTCTGTGTGCTACTGCAGTTGGGTTCGTTCCGCAAGTTATTTTTTGTTAATAGCGCCAATTTCTGGCAATTTTCCTTTGTGTGCGCCACAATTTTCTCTTTTTGAGGGGTTCGAGACTTTCGAGTTTTTCCATGTCATTTTAATGCACTGATATGAACGTATGAATGTATGGACGATGTGCGCTCCATTTCTTGGCCATTTGCTAGAGATATTTTCCAATTCAATGCACAAATTGTCAAGCCAATCAGCACATGTGTGTATGTGGCTCTATATAGCTATCGCTATTGCTATAGTTGAAGTCTATTGTTTTGCAAAGTTGAGCGAAGATTGGATCCACAAATTGTTGTTGTTGGAGTCGTCTCTTAAATTGCACATGTGGCAGGCAGCTCATTTGTCAAGTGGCAAATCACTTTAAAGGCCAGATGAATGGAAAGCAACGCAAACAATCAACAACAATGATAAAATCAACTTTTTATTTTGCATGTACGAGCAGTAATTTCAGCTGGTTTGTGTCTTCGCTTTGATCGGGGAGCGTTGATTGCTGATTGCTTGCTTGCTGATCGTGACCGATCGACGGCATTTCCCACGCAAAAGAAAACCTAACGGATGAAAAAAGTCTCAAAGTTGACACCAACGACAACAACAACAATAACAGCAATGACATCTAATACACGGCAGATGCCACATCTTTTGGCAATGCTGGACTAAAATTGATGCAGAAGTTTCTAATGCGTCCAAGATGACTCCACTAATGGGTTTTTAATGAAGCCGACAGGGTGGAGAAATATGTCAGCGACGTGCAAATTGAAACTAAGTAAGCCAACTTAAGCGTATTAATTATGACTGTCAGCCCAGCACCAGAACAGGTAGAAAGATAACTTGAAAAAGCACCTGAAAGTTTGGCAGGTGCCAACAAACTGTGGCCTTTTTGCATTTGCATTTGACATTTAGTGCAACTCTTGCAAGATGCGCCGCCACCAACCAAAAGAAAAACAACAGGCAAACCAGACATGAAAGCAGCTTTTCCACCTCAAAGCCCCCTGTTTACCAAAATTGACAAAAAGAGCACGGCATTTGCGGCTGCTTACTGCATTTGGCTAAAATGTCTATAGTTCATTTGCTGATATTTTGCTGAGGCCCACGAAAAACACAAAACACGTGACCTATCCACATAGCAAACCAAGACGTTGTTGCAAATACACCATAGTGGTAGCTGCGCTAAAAATGTGTGCGTGACTCACACACGAAAATCGTAACCGTTAGCGATATATTTAATTAATTTTTCAATTACATATACTGTTCACTGTATAAATAAATCCATAGAAGGTTCTATGAGAAACTGGGAGAAATTATAAAAATAAATTATACTGAATAATATTTTATTTACTTTTGTGGTGATTTTTACTCGATTTAATCAAATAAAATGATCATCTTCAAATATATATACATGTATATGCAGTCACGCTCTCATCTCTAGTTCGAGCTGATGGGTCAAATGATTTAAATGGCTAATGAATTGTTGTGCGAGCTGCCTACGTAATAAATCTTAAATAAAACTGAGTCATGCAGTAAAATGTGCGAAATGCATTCAGAATAGTCTGCAAAATGAAGGCTGACTTTATAGTTGCGGCATGTTGATGCTGGTAGTTAGTTAGTTAGTTGTTAAGTTAACAGTTGCTTTTGCTGTTGTTGTCGCCATGCAAATTGTGCTCACGTTTTGCGCATTAAGCAAACTACGGACCACTGGCGATGATTGAGTTCTCCGCACCTTGTGGCAATTGCCCGCATATCTATACGTGAATGTATCTATGTAGTGTGTAGTACATAGATATCGGTCTCATAATTGGCAACAGTCGAAAATCTGACCCAACGCAGCTCAATTAGGCAAATAATGGCAAGCGGGGCAGACCACATGAAAACATTTTGATGGCCAGCTTTGATCTTAACTGCAAAAATATTTACCGTAACGCATTATGCCGCACAGATTAAAAGGCAAGAAGGCAGCAACAAAACTGATGCAGTTTGCTGTTGCTACACTTAAAGAAATATGTTTAGAAATGCAAGGTTACTTTTTTTATTATATATTTTTGTTATTTTATTTTATTATTTAATTGTAAACATGTATATGTAACATAATTACTATAAACAAAATCAAAGTCAACAAATAATTTTGCAAGTCACATACTGGTAATCTATCCAGGGGAAGTACTCTGCAGATAAGAGCAGCTAGAGCACGGTACTTTTTTATATTTTGCATCTTCTTTTGGTGTGATGTGTCTCTTATCTCTAGTGTCCTGCTATAAAAGCACGGTTGCGGCACACTGAGTTATCAGTCAATCAGCTCAAGATTCACATACAACATGCAGGTAACAATCATCGCCTTAGTCTGCTGTTTAGTCGGCTCTGCACTGGCTCTGCCTTATCCCGATCCGGAGGAGAAGAAGGATGTCTGGAATGAGCGAAAGCAGTTTAATATGCCAGATGAGCAGCGTTTCTTAGTGGATGGTGGCTACAACAAGGATAAGAGTGGCAAGGATGTGTGGGTTCAAGCACAGGTGCCTGTTTGGACCAGTGAGAACAAGCGACACGAGTTCGATGTTGTCGGCAAATATGGACAGCATCTGGATGGACCTTATGGCAATAGCCCACCCTCATGGGGTGTGGGCGGCAACTACAGATTCCGATTTTAAATAACATCAGCTTAGTAATTCAGCAATAGTACTTGAGTTGAATACCAATAATATTATCAATTTTAAAGCATATTTATTATAAAATGTATATCCACAATTTAATGCATGAATTTGCCATCAGCTCTTCTTGACCTAAGCCAAATCTCAACTAAGCTGAAACAACTACTCGAGCTACTCGAACCCGAGTAATATTTTTAGAACTTATTACTTATTAAAAGATATGTACAGTTTCTTTCAAGAAAAATCTATTTCGTACTTTACTTAAAAAGTACTCATAAAAAAGTAATCTCTGCCAGCCAGGTTTTTCTTACGTGTAATGCCTGTTGCAGTTGCAGTTTGCTATCAGTATCAATAGTAATTTTAAGTTTCACTCACCACAAAACTTGACAAGCGGCCAGCTGGACATAGATATATATATATATATATATATATATATATGTCCATATATATATATAGATGTATTTAGAGAGAGCTAAAGAGAGAGAGAGAGATGGAATGGGTGGGGGAAAGGATGCATTCGGCTTTGAAACTGGGACTCTGCACAGTCGACTGGGCGCACATGATGGTGTCGTAGGTCAGGCAGCAGCTACAAAACGGCAGCGGCAGCAACAAAATGTGTCTACGATTGCCGCAGTTTTCCAACTGCAATTTGTGGCCTAGGACTTGGCATGTCGATGCAGTTGGATCAGACCCAAAGCCACGGCAGTAACAACAACAGCAGCAACAACAACAACAACAATGACGATTTGTAGCCAATTATTTCAAATATTGTATTGAAATTGTATGGCCGTGTGTTGCTATCTGTGGATAGGGATCTGCACGTAGCCGGCTTGAGTGTGTCAAAGTGGCCACTCGAAGTCATCGTCAATTGCTGCCATTGCTGCTGCCTGTGCTGATGCCAGTGCTGCTGTCAGTGCTGCTGCCAGTGCTGCTGCCAGTGTTGCTGTTGGCCATGGTCATCACTTGACACTGCCCGCTCTCACAGCAGAGGCTAGAATCCAAGCAGCAACCACTTCCCATAGCTGATGCGAATTTGTCATATGCATATATACACATTGATTAATCACCTGCTTTAGCTACAGTCACCAGCCAATAGGCAACAGTCAACTCCCAATCACAATGTTCACTTGCAGTTAGTGTCGTTGCTGTTGTGGTTGTCATCCATTCAACGGGTCACGTCAACTTTCGACTTCATCAGCAACTTGAACCGCACGCGCTCGTTGACCTTTGCTGATGGGCAGGTGCAGCAAGTGGCATTCATTTGTTTATTTTTAACAACAGTTGCATCACCCTATAAACGTGGAAATATTAAGAATTGCTTAAGTAACTATTGAAAGTAAGTTTATACAATATACATACAGATTGGCATTTAAGAGATTTTAATTCGTGTCTTTTTGGGTATTTAAGTACTTGCAAGTTGAATCATCAGATTGAGTTTCTCGAAACATTTGCTTTTAAACTATAATTGCTTTAGTTATTCTTAATTGGTTATACTCTTCATTAATATTTAATTAGAATGTGGTTTTTATTCGGCCCTCTTAAGGGTTTTTAGTGGTTCAAAAATCCTCGGAATTGATAGAGCCTTATCTAATTGATGTTAATAATCAAAGCATTGCAAGTTCAATTCTTGTCGAACGTGTTTGTGATTTAAAATGCAAAGGCACGATTAACGACAAAAAAAAAAATAAAACAAAATAACCACAAACACCTATGACAACAAACAGTGATCAATAACCGGGCAAGAATGCGGCGTCAAATGTGTTTGGCAAAAGGTATTAATACCTTATTAGAAGGGTCGTCAATGTGGTCGATGACAGCACCAAAGCAACAACAACAAAGTATGAGCTGTGCGCGCGGAGTGTGGAATATCAATGAGTTCTTTGTGCATTGAGTATTGTGTAAGTGTTTGTGGCCACACGGTTGATGGGAGTGTTCTGGCTTAACACAGACGACAATTGCATTTCCGCTTAATTGTTGGCCCAAAGCGACAATACAACACAGCAGTCAAAGCAACGGACTTCTTCTAAGCAACTTTTGGGCTGGAGGTTGTAGAGTCACAGGAAACGCAATCATAAATCGCGCTGATGGTCATTGCTGCGGCTATATAGTTGCAATATTTATGCTGTGTGGCAATTAGCCTGGTCAGTGGCCATCTCGGCCCAAACCAGGAAATGTTTTGGGCAGAAACACTTGTCAGATTGCATGTTCAATTCTAATATTATAAGTTTTTCTTCTCTTTTTGCTTGCTTGTTGCTGCTGCTGCGGTAAAGGCTATTTGCGTGCCTGGGCATTGTGTCCAGTGTGTCCCAAGCTATCTATCGACATGACCATTTTGCTACGTCTGCTGCTTGGTGCCCGCTGTCTGTATTACAACATCATTAGAATTTGATTTGCATTTCCTTGGACGACGTGGCGTCGCATCATGGCTAACATGGCATTAAAGCCCATTTAGCTGTCGTGTGGCAATTATTGATCAACTAGGTGCCACAATCGGCCGGCCAATGAGCCCCATCTGGTTGTGGTGGTGGTGTTGCTGCTGCTGCTTCTGGTGGTCAAGATATTTGCATACAAACAAAAAGCTGCCCAGCATGGAACGCCTTTAGTTATTTCAATCCGTTGCCACTGCTCACTTTTATGGTTAATGCTGCCTGCAACTGCAACACACTATGAGGAATTGAAGTTGCACTGAAATCTCTTGTGAAAACATTTTTTTTACCTTATCCAGATATTATTTAACAGCCAATATTAGTTTATGGAAAATTAAGAATTTATATTTGTAATCAATACATATCAAGTCCCGTTTAAATTTAATTTTAATGGTAAAGAATATAATATAAATTGTCTAGCCACTCATTAATGTTAATAAAAGATTTCTTTTCTTTTTTGTTATTTCTGACAAAATTAATTATGCAATTTAAGACAATATTTTGTAACAGTGTAGCTTTAGCTTCGGTACTGCGTGCGTCTGCTTTAGTTGGCCATTACCAACATTGTCGTCGTCATTTTCTAGACAGCATTTGTTGACTGACGCGTCGCTGACGTTTAGCTGCCACTGTGCAGTGCCGTTACTCGCCAGCAACAGCTCATGCTCCCATCCCTGCGTCTGCCCCGTCCATGTCCTAGTCCCTTCTTCTGCTCCCTAACCATTGCCCGTTAGCACGCTTGATTTTGTCAGTCTTTCGCCGTAAGCGTTTAAATATTTATGGCTTGTGTACTTAAGTTAATCACAGCGAAATGATGAGCATCAACTGCTAACTGGCGACTACCGTTTGGCAGCATTCAAATCATTTCTGGTTTACCACTTATATTATTTCTTCTCTTTTCTCCATTTTTTTTAGAGTTAAGTGTCATTTAGTGTTTGTTGTGCATTATTGAGTCATTAAAATTTCATTGTGCTAGCGAATATTTTAATTATTTAATGGCTCGCCAAGTTGACATTAGTATTTGGTTAGTTAAATGCAAATTCAACAAATTATATAAAATGTTGACCCAAAAAGTACGACAGATACTTGCGACAAAACCGACAAAGAACAAATGAAGCAACAACAACAACAAATAACAGTGACAACAACAAGGAACAACGGCGACAACAAACAAATAGCGATAACAATAACAATGGCAATGTTAAGGACCCATAAATATGGCTTTAAAATCGCATCTTGCGGTTGTTGTTGCTGTGGTGCTTATCAGGCTTACCCACTGTGGGTAGTTGCACATAGCCACTGGCTTTGTTTGTGTTGTGCCTTTACAAATGTTGAAACTTTTAAATTTGTTAAAAATTGAGAGCTTGAAAGAAGCAATCAATATTTATCCTTTAGATACATACTGTATAATTATACTCTTAGAGAAGATATTTTCATTTTCTTTTCAAATTGAATTTTGGACGTTTCTAAGAAAAGAGTTCTCTCCTTTTTTGTTTTTTTTTTTTGGCTGACAAACTTTTTTAAGTGTGTACAGTCTGCTGTTATTGAAAAATTATTTTCAACTATTTCAGTTGTTGTTGTCGGCATTTGTTTGTTTACTCGGCGTGTGGCTTCGCTGTTGCATTTCATTAATTTACGATTATTGACAAAAACAAAAAAGCAAAAAAAACAAACATCGTAAAGGCAGCGACTTGGCCAGTGGCTTAGCCATTTTTGGGCAGCGCCGTTTGCAGATTAGGAGCCAATTTGGTGTGAAGTGCTTTTGGCCGCAGACTGGAGAACATTGGTTGCAGTCCGCTAACGGCAGCTGGCAGTGCATCAATCAATCGCTGGGTGCCGGAGCAAAGAAGTTGAGCCAAAGACGGGGACAAAACTGACCTTGCAATAAGGAAGCGGCATTCGTCACTGTCCAGAACAGCAGCAGCAGCAGCAGCATCCGCATTAGAGTTAAAAATTTTCGTGTGAATTCAGCTTATTTATGTATGGCAATTAGTCTAGACAGCCGGCGAAGGGGCCGCGCGGAACTAATGAGCGTTAGAAACGGAGAAGGGAGGTGGGGCGGTGGGAGGCAAGTGGACATGTACAAGCATTTTTTTAAAATTTATTTATTTTTAATATGGATCCGCGAGGTCCCGTTTGGACAGCCACTTGCAATTTTACAACTCAATAAATTGGCAGCGCTTCTATCTGCGAGCAGCAATCAATGTAGTTTGGACCTCCCTCCAACCTCCAACCCTCCATCCCCCACACCTCCTTTTACCCCCTGCCACTGTCATCTGTTTTATTTTATTTTATTTTTTCTGTATGGTAGTGTGTGCGCAATTATTGTTCTAACGGCATTCGGCAATTTAGTCCCGCCTTTTTGGGTGGGCAGTGCGATGACCGCAGCCGATGTTGCAGCCGTTTGCTGATGTTGCTGTTGTTGCTTGTGGTCGGCATTGTCTGCACTTTTGTGTGTGTCTGCGTGCGCCCCCCGGCTGCAGCCCGTGCTGGCCACGATTTTAGTTTCGCTGGTGCTGCGTCTCGCGACGGCGGCCACACAAAATCATCAACATAAATTCTTCTTTTAGTGCGTCGCTGTGTGGCTCTTTCCACATATACACATATATGTAGCAATAGATATATGTATATATGCCCCACAGCAGGCTGGATTCTATGCGCGGCGTTCTCGCAG